CGCCCACAGAACTGGTTAAGAAATTTGAATCCCACCCCTACCTCTGTGTGTGTGTGTGTGTGTGTGTGTGTGTGTGTGTGTGAGAGAGAGAGAGAGAGAGAGAGAGAGAGAGAGAGAGAGAGAGAGAGAGAAAGAGACAGAGAGGAAGGGAAGGAGGGAGGGAGGGAGAGAGAGGTTAGACGAGATCTCTCTCTCTCTCTTTCTCTCCCTCCCACCAACGTCAGCAAGCCACTGTCAGTCAAAATTCATATTAGTGGTCCCCGGGATTTAAAAGTATGAGTTTGGTGGTCCCTGAGGTCCAAAAGGTTGGCGACCTTTGGAGCACCTCAAGAGGAAGATGGGGGCCGGCCTAGACACACTTGGTCAGGCCCCCCACAGCAGCCGCTCGTCCTAAGAGGAAGGCCCACCAGTGCTGCCTCTGTTAAGCAGGGCCCCACGTCCAGCGTTTCTGGGCAAAGCACCACTGCAGTCGACTGACTAGGATGGCTGCCGAAGAGCATGTCGACTTACCGGTGACGGACATTCTTCCCGTGTTCTCGGAAGCCTTTAGCAAACGGATTGTTGTAGATTTTCAGCTTTGTGATCTTGGGAGAAAGAGAGGCGCTCAGCACCTGCACCAGATGCTGTATTTTGCATCTACGTTATCATCCTGTCTGGTGATTGGCCGGTAAATGTTACAAAAACCAGGTGCCTGCAAAAGGCTTCCTGTTCTTTGCGTGGCAGCCCATCCCCGCCGGCCACTGCTCTGCTCCCAGTAGCTAGAATCCTTGGCTACAAGCTGCAAAGCAAGGCCTTCTGTCCTGGCGGGGCCTGGCCTTCTGTCCCCCCCCCAAGGCCCGGACTGGTTGTCCTGGGCAGCCTCCTGTAGACACCGACGTTGCCCCACCTTTTCATTCTGATAGGCGGTCACGGAGGTGAAGACCGTCTCTGGGAAGCTGAAGGAGTGGAAGACGCCGCAGCGGGTGCTGAAGAGGCCGTCGGCCGGCATGACGTGGAAACGCGGCTTATAGCGATGCATGGAGTGAAGGATGACCTGGGAGAGGAGAGATGACTCAGAAAGGGTCTCCTGGCAGGCCTGCCCAACTTGACTTCTTCGGAGGCCAGAGTCTTCTCACCAGTGTCCACCAAGGCCCAACTGCCACTTGCTAGAATCACAAATGCGGATCCCCAACCGACCTTGTAACCAAAGGCCTCTGCCCTCTTGGGAAGACCCCCCGACGCTCAACCCAAGGAAGGGGATTCAGGAAGACCTCTGCCTGAGACCTTGGTGTGGGACGGGGGCACTTTCTCTGGGACCCGAGAGACACCCGCCCCACCCTTGCTGAGTGGCAAGGATTCCGAGGTGAGGCTGGGGGCCAAAGAGTCCGTGCGCTGGGCAAAGAAAGCAGCAATGCAGGGAAAGGATGTCACGACCCCCCGAGATCCACCAAGTTCTTTTCCGCATTCCTCCCTCAGGACAGCGCAAAGGTGGTTCAAGCCCTTCAAGGATGCGTCTGGGTTGACTTTCCATCTGGCTGAGAGGAAGAGGGATAAGGGAACAGGCTGGGGATGACACTCAAGACGGGCAGAGATGACGCCTCAGAAGAGGGTGGGGGGTGGAGGAAGAAGGTGGAAGGGTGGCAGAGATACTGGAAGCATCAGAAGGAGAAAGAGAGGAATCGCCAAAGAAGCTGTGCACCCAGAGGCCTAATGTCAAAGGAAGCGAGAGCTAATATATCCAGAGAGTGGGAGGACCTATCAGTGTCTGGAATCCTCTACCCGACTCTGTAGTTTCTTCCCCAAACCCCCAAAACTTCAACCTTAGACTGTCTACTATTGACCTCACCCCTTTCCTAAGAGGTCGGTAGGGGGTGTGCATAAGCGCACCAAGGCGCCTACCGTCCCTGTCCTCTTGTTTCTTTTATTTTTCTTTTATTTTTCTTATACGTACCCATTTCATGTATTCATAACTATGTATACACTTATACTTATTATCTTGTAAACAATTGACAAATCCAATAAATAAATAAATAAAAATAAAGTGCTGCTACCTAATGAGTCAGCGAAAGCTTGCAGGAGGAATTTAAGGTAGCCAGTTTCTATGGAGTGAGAAAATGGAGGGAGGAAGCAGGAGTTTGTCCCAGGAGTTGAGGGCAATCCCTGACATATTTTCCTTTGGCTGAGCTGATTGTTCACCATGGAAACAAGAAGTAAAAACCTTCGAATGGTTATGACTAAAAAACAAAAGTGGAGAGGAACAGACTTCCGCAGACCTGATCTCAGGTACATCTAACATAACCAGTGGAAGAGAAGTTGCCTTCAGGCGTTGTCGGTGTTCCATCCCTGGAGGTTTTTAAGAAGAGCCTGGACTGAATTGGAATAGGGTCTCGTGCCTGAGCAGGGGGGCTGGACTGGAAGACCTCCAGGGCCCCTTCCAAGTCTTTATTCTGTTATATATTTATTACGAGCTCCAGTGATGCTTGGAAAATCTTGGTGTAGCCAGTAACCACCTGTTAGACGACCTTAGAAGTAACCACAGAAAAGGAAGACTTAGCCCATGACAGAAAAGAAGGCATCCTAAGTCAGGGATTGTGGGTTCGAGTCCCATCTGGGGTGCCAAGAAGAATTTTATAAAAAATTACATATGAAAATAATGGGACTGGACTATATTAATAGAGTTATGATGGGAGATTTCAATGGAATTGTAGACAATAAACTGGACTATACAGCAACAGCAACAAGACAAAATAGAAAGACTCTCCCTAAATCCTTTTTCAAAATGATAGATGAATTAAACTTAAAAGATATATGGAGAGAAAGAAATGCTAAAATTCAACAATATACTTTTTACTCAAATAGACATTTATCATGGTCCAGAATAGATATGATATGGACCTCAACAGAATGAATATCTAATATTCAAGAAATAAATATTGAAACAAGTACATGGGCAGATCATAATCCAATGACAATTAAATGGAAAGGACAAAAAAGAAGATCTAGATGGACATTAAATAATACTATTTTAAAGGAAAAAGACTTCACACAATGGATGGAGAAAGAATTGGCCTTCTTCTTTAGTGAAAATAAAAAAGAAGATACTTCAATACAGAATGTTTGGGCTACAACGAAGGCATATGCGAGAGGAGTAATAATAGACTATACAAAGAAAAAGAACATTAGGAAGAGGCAAACTATCAAAGCTTTAGAAGATGATCACAAAAAAACTGGAAAAAGAATTACAGAAAATGCCACAGGAAAAAAGATATTAAACTTAAAATGGACATAATTCAACATAATTAAGCAAGCAGAAGCCCTGGCATAGGATGCCAGCAGCCGGGCCCCCGAAGGAGACGTACGTGGCCCTGCTGGTCCAAGGTGTTGTTCGTCAGCTTGAGCTTCTGGAAGGAGAGCGGCTCCTTCATCCAGTGGCTGCCCAGGGCAGGAGAGTCCGGGTGGATGTACGTCCGGCATGGGGGCCGTGGCTCGGCTTTCCCTGCAATCTCCCACTGGTCCTTGTTCCACTGGGGAGTGGGAGAAGGAACAACACGTCATCACGTGGCCTGCCTCCCCGTGGCCTGTCCCTCTTCCCCCACCCCCCAGGAGTCGCCTCCTCCTTCAAACCGGCTACTCCCCATCATCCCCTGCTCGGCTGGCCCTGCCTTGAGAGACATGGGATATCATAAATAAGAGGGAAGGGCCCAGTCAGCAGAAAAGAGCCACCAGCTACTAATGCCTTGCAAGGGGGCTCCGGGTGCAAGAGAGACCAGGATTGTACCCAGCTCTCCTGGGACCCCAAGGCAAAATAGCCCTCCTTGCTGCAAAGGAGCCACAGCCCTGGCAATACAGCCACGAGGCCAGGAGTCGTTTTCAAAAGCTGCCAGCTCATTTGCTGAATCTCATTTGGTGAGATGGATGCCTATATAAAGTGGATAAATATATGTGAAAATAAGCGCTCCTGTAAGAACCGTGTACACCAGCATATTACGTCCATGGTTTTTTTCCTTTTTTCTTTTTTTTTTGGCTGAATGCAGGAACACTCAGATTTTCCAGACTATAATCTGCAGGATTAAACTCTAGAGAGACTGTTTTATAGGGTCCCAGGCATGTCCAGAAGGCTGAAGTGCCAGCATTGGTCACCAACCTAGGGCCCCGTCTTGTGTCTTGACTAATCTGCTGGGTGGGCTTTTGGAGTGGAGGGTCTCCCAAGGGCAGTCAATGGATTTTCTACGCTGCTCCCAACCTTCTAACATCCAGGAAGTAATCGGTCCTGCCAGAACATCCCTAATTTCGGTCGGCTGAAGGACCGAGGAGAAGATGAAGTGAAAGCTGGACAAGAAGGAGGAGAAATGTGGGCTCAGGGACCGAGGCAGAGCCTGTTTTGGGAGGATTTTGCTCCACAAGAGGAGGAAATGCGTTGTGACTCACAGCTGAGGGGTGTTTTTTTTTGGGGGGGGGGAATGAACACAGCAGGCCTTCACAACCAGCCTGAGGAGGCTTTCTATAGCTTGGTTCCCGCCTCACAGCGAAGGGGAAGATGGCGAACACGCCACCTGTTCACTCTCCATTCTTTTCATGGCTGGCTTCAGTTTTATTCTGCCCTTTCCTCTCCTGCGCTCATTTTTGCTAACCTGCCTTGAGAGGTATCATTTCTGTATATAAGCTTCCCCCTCCCCCTGCCCCCATCCCGGCCTGCCTTTCAGCCAGTCTCCAGTTCCAGCCGGCGGCCAACTGCGAAGGCAGATTCAACGCCCAGAGCTACTTCATGCTCAGCGTCTCACCTGGTGGGACTCACAGCTAGTTTACCTTGTACCTGAAGTTGTCCGTTGGCACGAAATCTACCAGCATGAGGTACTTGGCGTAGGTACAAAGCCAGTGACTTTGATCTTGAATTGTGGAAACATTCGTCTGTGGAAAAGGAAAGGATTGCTTCAAAGATCCTAAAATGGTCCCTCGGGGAGGATTGGAGCAGCGGCTGCTGTCCTGCCTTTGACGGCATTCGTTGTCTTTTATGGGTTTCCAGGTTTTTTTTTTTTCCTATGCCATCCTTCCCCGTCCCAGAAAAAGCCACGATGGCTCTTGGCTGACTAGACCAGGGGTAGCCCGGGCAGCTTTGGCCGCCTGCAGAGGCTCCTATTTGCTCGGACATCCTAATGGGGGGGGAGGCTTGGCATTTATTCCTAAATAAGGTTGCCAGCAGGACCCTCTCACGGCCCGCTTCCCATGGTCTCGGAGGGCGCCAAGAAGCCCCAGTGAGCGTTGTGGTGACACCAGGTTGGATCCCTGAGAGTTCACTTGTGGCACCTCAGGAGAGACGGTGTGAATCCTAACTCCAGGAGGAGGAAAAGAAGGCAGGCAGGTGAGTCTTTTCTGAATTGTCCACTTGCGGCACTCGGGAGAAACTTTCACAGGGTAAAAACGTGTATGACTGATATTAAATACGTTTCACATTTAGAATCTTTTTTTTTATGGGATAGAAATTTCCTCTCGTTTTTTACACAGTGCCAAGTTTGGGGAGGTTGGTCAGCCAAGATACCTACATGAACAGCTGCGCATGCCTACAGAAGAATAAAGAATCACTCGGGAGTCAGGGCTGGGGGGATGGCAAATGCCAGGCAAAGAAATTTCCGGGAATGTTGGCCAGCCACGTTCAGATAACGAAGGGTTTGCGGGAAAAGCTGAGCGGAGAAGCTGGAGCTGCCGCGCTCGACTCTCTCCCCAAAGAACACAAGATTTTAAAAGGCTTTGCTCACCGCCCGGTTTTGGTAATAATCATCTCCGTCCCTGCATGGTGAAACTTGGCCCAAAGATCTGGCTCTTCAAGAGTGACGGCCACGGAGCTGTGAGGAGGGGTGGAGGAGGCCTCCAGTGGGGCCGGTTGAGCCCAGAAGCCTTGAAAAACAGGAGGAGAAAAATCCCAGGGATGGTGAGGCAGCCCGTCCCTCCTTTCCTCCCTCCCTCCGCAAAACGGCCTCCAGCCCCCAGCCTCCCTGCCATCTTCACTCCCTAACGGGTCTGTCTCTGGACCCTGGCCACTTGAAGGCGTGTGGGCTTCAACTCCCAGAATCCCCAGTCAGCATGGGAATTGAAGTCCATAACATCTTCGACTTTGCCAAGGCTGAGAAACGCTGCGATGGAATAACCCGCATCCCCAACTGGGGAATGTCGTTGGGATAGGAACGGTGTTTCCCCAACATTTCTGTTTTAATATATACTCCAAACGTTGGTTTTTTTAAAAAGAACCCTATTTCTGAAAATTAAAGATGTATGAAATTAAAAGATGTATGAACCTGAGGTTAGAAAGGGTTAAAAATAAGAAGAAGAATTTGACAGAATTAGCAGAAGAATGTAGCAGGAATTTCAGAATTTCCCCAAATATGATTGCTTTGCAAAACCAAACAAAATCAAGCAAACGATTTCTAAGTAGCCTAGATTTGAAACGGATGGATTTTCTCTTCCCAGCTCCACTTCCTCTGAGAAAAGACGGGGGTGGGGGGTGGACTGCCTACCCCTCCCTGCTTCCAGCTAAGGAGACCACGTTCTCCACTGGCTCTCCCTGGCAGGGCAATTGGTGGAGAGGCTGGAGAGCATTGCCCCCCTCCCGTCCCCCGTGCCAGATCCGCTCCCGAAGCCGCCTGTGAAGCCGCACGGAGCAGCTGGCACGGACCCCGTGTCTGGATGGGATCTGGGAGGGGGCTGGGAAGGTGAGCAGGCAGCACTTGCTGGACCAGATCAGGGCAGCTTCCCGCTTCCTCTCTGGACGTTTCTATCCCTGCCCAGAGATGCCGCCAGGTTCGGGGCAGCTCCAGGCGGCTAGAGCCCTGGACCATGCCCGCACTCGGGCCCCCTCCCCCGCAAAGCTTGCCTGGTCTTCTTCCACAAGGGGGGGAGGGGGCTGCTCCAACTCCAGCATGTCCAGCCACTGCAGAGCCATCCCGCCTGCCTTAAGTGCCTTAACTGTGTAGAGACAGGCAAGGGGGGTGCCTGGCACAGAGATTGAATAAGAGAAGCCATAAGGAGCCAGTTCTGGGAATGGCACCCAATCAAAGGCGACTCCGAGAGGCCACAAGATGGAAGGCAGCGGAAGGAGACGCCTGGTCTTTCAAGGGGAGCCCGAGTGGGCATTCAAGGGGGGGGCAGCAAGAGCCTCAGCGGGGCTGGTATTTGGGGTGCGAAAGGGCAGGAGGTGGAACAAATGGCTGGAGGCTCATTGGCCTTAGAACTAAGGGGAGGGGGCTGTATCAAGGGGCTCACACCCAGATCACAGTAGCCCAGAGGAGAGAGAGGTCTCCCCCCAATGCAAGGCACCCCTGGAACCCTGGAGACCCCCCCCCACGAGGAGCCCCCCCCCCCTCCGCTTCTGCCCCAGGGCCAGTTACCTCTCTCCTCCCCGGGTGATTAGACCATGCCGCCGGTCAGAGGTGGCCGGTTCGGACCACTGCTGCAGAGCCGCCAGCCGAAGTTTTGGGTAGTTCGGAGAACAGGCCAAGAACAAACCCCCCCCCCCCCCCGAGACCCCCCCCCCCCCTCCCCCCCCCCCGCCCGCCGCCCCCCCCCCCCCCCCCCCCCCGCCATATGATAGCGCAGACAAGCAGCGTCCTTGGCCCGTCGGATTCCCAGAGGCGACTCCGAAGGTCCCCCGCAGCTGCCCAGGATTCCTCCTCACCCCGCCCGGCTAGCCGCCAGCCAGGACCCGCTGCGCCCGGGAAGGCGGGGAGGGGGGTGAGGCCGCAGGGTCAGAGCCCCCCACCCCACGCGCCTTGGGGCAGTCCGAGCGGAGAAAGAAGCGGCCCTACCCGATCCCGGCTGCATCTTTGCCCGAGCGGGGACGGTCCGGCGGCCGGAAAGGCCCCCACGGAGACGCGGAGGCGGCCCCTCTCCTCCCGCAGCTCCGCCGGACGCCGAAGCCCCCGGCCTTATGTAGGCGGGGGCGGGGGCGGGGCGGACCCCCGCGGGAGTTCCCGGTCGGGCCCCCCAAAGGGCGGAGGGCCGCGGGGCGGGGGGAGCGCGCAAAAGCAGGGAGGCCGCCGGCCGATTGAGGCGCCCGGGCAGAGTCCCGGGCCGCGCAAGCAGAGCCAAAGGGCGCCTCCCGGCGAGCCGCCCCGTCGGACGAAGCGCCGGATCCGAAGGCAGCAGCAGCAGCCGCGCGGCCGGAGGAGCTGCCCGTCTCGGGGCTGCCGACTCCGGCCGGGCGCAGCGTCGGGGGCTTCTTGCTTTGCGGGCGGGCTCGGCCTCCCCGAAAGCCCACGGGAAAGGAGGAACCGGCGGCTCGCCCCGCCGGGGCCCGCGGAGGGAAAAAGTCTCCGCTGTCCCGGCCCCTCGTGGCTCTCCCGGCCGAGGAAGGCGCCGCTCCGCCGCCGGCCGAGTCTTCTTCGCTCGGCGCCGTTTTGGCGGCTTTAGCCCTCGGGGCTCGCGGACGGCTCGGCGCAAAGCCGGCGGCAGCGCAGGGAGCGCAGCGGATTCCGCGGCTCCCGGCGCTTCGAGGCCCTTTCCCGGGAGAGAGAGAGGCGGCCGCCGCCGCCGGCGAGCGTCCCGGGTCGCGCACTGGAGAAGCGCGGGGGTGGCCTCAGGCCGGACGCGGCCAGCCGGGACTTGAGCGCGGCTGGGTGGGTCTCGGCGGGGCAAAAGCGGCGCCGGCGGAGAAAGCTCTGGAGCCGGCGGGAGACGCGGCTGCGACGCTACCTCCGACTTGGGAGGCCAAGGGCCGGCCTGCCGTCCGGGCCCCTCAAGCCAGCTCTTCCCGCCGCGAGTGAGGTACTAACCCCACGTTCTAAAGCATCTCCACCCTTGGCAACTTTAAGACCAGCGGACTTCAACTCCCAGAGTTCCTCAGCCAGCAAAGCTGGCTGAGGAACTCTGGGAGTTGAAGTCCGCTAGTCTTAAAGTTGCCAAGGTTGGCGATCCCTGCTCTACAGTTAGAAGGCCTGGAGTCCGGCATCCAGTTTTGGTCACCACACTATAAAAAACCCTGTTGAGACTCTGGACAAAGTGCAGAGAAGAGCAACCAGGATGATGAGGGGACTGGAGGATGAAACATATGAAGAAAAGGGGAACCGGGTTGCGGGAACTGGGCCTGCCTAGTCTAGGGAAGAGAAGGACCTGGGGAGACAGGAGAGCATCTTCCAATATTTGGGGGGCTGCCCCAGAGAGGAGGAAGGGGGTCAAGCTATTCTCCAAAGCGCCTGAAGGCCAGACAAGGAACAATGGATGGAAACTGATCCAGGAGAGATTCAACCTGAAAATAAGGAGGAATTTTCTGACAGTGAGAACAATCAACCCATGGAAGAGAAGTTGCCTTCGGAAGTGGTGGGAGCACCATCACTTGAGGCTTTCAAGAAGAGAGATTGGTCAGGAATGGTGGGGGGTTGGACTAGATGACCTACAAGGTCCCTTCCACCTCTTAATCCGTCTCCCGGGATCTCCCGCCTCGTTCGGCTGGGCTGCCGTAGCGTTTCTTCCCAGCCGGGCTCTGCAGCTTCTCCGGCGGGCTTCCACAGACACTTGTCCTGCTCGATGTCCCCGCTCCGGCTGCCGTCGGGGGAGCGCCCGAAGCTTCCACCGGGGAGCGGAGAGGCGCGAAAGCCTTGCCTCGGGGAAGCGGCGTCCCCGGGTCGGGAAAAGGGGCCGGCGGGATGACTGGCCTCGTGGCTCTCAGCCGACTCTGGCCGGGCGCTTCCCCTCGGAGGCTCAGCCCAGCGATGCTTCTCACCCGGGCGGAGGGGCTGCCCTCTTATTTTGGGCGACTGCCGCCGAGGGCTCGCTGCTCCCCGCTTCCCCGGCCACGCGTTGCTTTTCCGTTCCGGGAGTCTCGGCAAAAAAAACGTGCGGGAAGAAATCACTTGAAGGAAGGAAAAGGGCGGGAAAAGGTCTGACATTTAAGAGGAAGGGAAGAAAGAAATGAGGGGGGGAAGAAGGTCTGAAGTTGGAGGGAGGGAAGGAGGGAGAGAAAAAAGGAAGGAAATGGGAATGAGAGGAAGGGAAGAAGTGGAGGAGGAGGAAAAAGGTGGGTTGAGCTATAGTTTCTTTTTGCATGAAGACCGATGCAAAGAATGAGTTAAGCAGTTCTGCTTTCTCTCTGTTGCCTGTTACTTCCTCGCCGTCTTCTCTCTTTTAGTGGACCGACTGTTTCCTTGATTTTTTTCTCGTTATTTATATGTTGGAAGAAACTTTTTTATTTTCTTTGACTTTTATTGCAAGTCTTTGTTCGTTCTGAGCCTTTGCTATCCTGACTTCATCTTTGCAGATTCTGGCTATCTGCTGATATTCTGCCTTAGTTGTGTGTCCTTCTTTCCGTTTTTTGTACTTGTCCCTTTTTTCTTTCAATTTGCCAAAGAGATCTTTGTGCAGCCATGCTGGTTTCTTCTTGGATTTCTTGTTTTTCTTTCTCAGGGGTATTGTGCTGGTCTGGGCTTCTATGATCACACTTTTCAGAGTTTCCCCAAGATTCTTGAGTTGTTTTTCTCTTTAGGATTTTCATCCATGGAATCTTTCCCAAGTTCTCTCCGAGTTAATTGAAATCAGCTCTTTTAAAATCCAAGACTCTGGTGTCATTGTGTTCTGTTGCTTGTGTTTGTGCTCTGGGGCTTGATCACTGTTCTCTCCCCCATCTCAGAAAAATCCCAGAGCTGGACTTCTGAGTAAATGGTCCCCTCTGAGGGGGAAGCACTGCCAGTTTTCTGCACACTCCCCCCGCCCCCCTCCTCAGGCTGGAGAATCTCACCTGACTGTGGCGGTGGGGGACACAAAGGGCCAGAGGCTGCCCAGCGATTCTAAGACACGGGAACAGCCGGTCTGTTCAACAGGATGTCTGTTCCTTACTGGGTACTTCTGCACAACTTGTTCTCCATTGTCCTGAATGGGAACTGCAGGCCGGACGGAGCATAAATCGCTCCCCGCCTCCCCGCACCTGCCATTCAAATGCAAGTGGACCCCCTCATGAATTGCACCCAGTGATCACTTTAGCTTTGCTTTATTGCTCCACTCAATGGAAATTGCTATTGCCACCTAAGGGCACCTGCACAGCCGCCCTTAATTGGACTCCTCCCTAAGGTGTGGGGTTCTTGGGGTGGGGGCAAGCTTGGCTATGTGCAGGAGAGAGGCGTCTTCCCCCCCTCCCGGTTCCCCCCACGTGGCCCCCGCCTAGAGCAGGCAAGCTGGCCTGATCCAAAGGGGAAGTGATGGCTCCACCTTCTTCCACGCCCCACCCCGGTGCATTGGTGTGAGTAGGGCATGTCCCTGTCCAGGGCAGGGCAGATCAGATCAGCTCTGGGCCTCCATCAGTTGCAGACTGGCTCATGCTGCCAACTTCCTTTCATGGCTGTTTTGGTTTGTGCCACCAGAGTGTTAGGAATATGGGTCACCTAACAGCTATTTGGGTTAGAAATATATAAACCAGGATAGACATTTTAAAAATGTATCTTTAAGAAAATGCTAAAAACTGCAATTGGGTGTGGTTACTCAAAATGGCCGTAAGATGGAGCCAGAAACCTGGGTTGTCTTAGTCTCAGTCTCAGAAGAGTGTATGTCTGAGTGAGTATCTCTGTTTCCTTCTGTTGGAAAATATTGCCGGTCCTCCATTTTCTTCTAATTGACTGATATTAATGGATTTAATGTTTAACTCCCCAGACAGACTCGTGGACTTGAGCCTCCTAGGACTGGAAATGGCTTAAAGATCCTCTACTCTAGTCCAGCCTTCTGCCCAGGGCAAGAACCCTGAAACCATCCCTGACAAATGACCTTCCAGCCTTCGTTTGAAACCCTCTCGGATCTGGATCTCCCGCGGGAAGCTTCCGCCCATCAAGGTTCTTCAGCCGCCCTCAAGAGCTGCAGAGAATAAAGATTGAAAGATAACACCAATCTTTCCCCAACCTTCTCTTCTTTTAGGCTAAACATACCCGGTTCTTTCATCTGGTCTTCAGTGTTTTTCCTTATCTGTGGCCACCAGAACCAGCTCCAGGAGAGTAGAACGGAACTGTCCCCTTCCACGCTGTCTATCCCAGCATTGTTCAAGCCCAGCATTGCATTAGCTATTCTGGCAGCTGTTGCAGCTGTTGGTGATTCTTCTGCCCACCATTCTGCCTGATCGGTGTTCCTACTTGCCTCTCTGCTGAACGCACAGTTGAGAAAAGGGCCTGGTGTTCAGGTCTGTCTCTCTCTGAATCCTGAGCCTGCCTTCTCAGGAGGCTAACCAAAGAAAACCCCAGCCGATGTCTCCATGGAGATCAGGGGATTGGCTTCCCTTGGCAGACAGTGACCGGTGGCGGAAATGGAGAAGCAGCATTTCACAGCAGCCTCCACAGGCCAGCGGGACCTTGGCAAATGCCAGATTCACCACATTATTTCCAAGATCGTAAGTGATATGTGATCACTCATGTGCTAAATATTCTGTTGAAGAAGCCAGAAAACCCAGTTCCAATCTTGCAACCAAGGGATGAATTTAGGCCGACTGCAGGGTGGACTTGAATGAGGCCAAGGCTACAGCGGATCCTCCTCCAAAAACAGAGATGTGAGGGGGTCTGTGGGTGGGTTGAATTTAAGCCCTCGGCTTAGCTTACCGAGGCCATTAATCCTGTGGGTTTCTCCCCTCCCTACTTTGGCTAAAATTATGGGGGTGTTTAAAATTGAGCGTGCCATATCACCAAGGCCAAACACCAAAGATACTTTTTCAGTAGTGTAGAAAGTTAGCAGCCATCCTTCTCCTGGAAAAATGAAATATTCTAGGAAATATTAAAAAGGCAGAATGTTATATTTTCCCTAAAGAAGAAGCATGTTTCTAAAGACATAAACTCAGAGCCTCAGCTCTCTCCCAAGCCGATATTTTGGTGCCAACCTATCTACAAGACAAAATGTTGGGCCAGCTTATCTACAAAACAAAGACCTTCACCCTCAGGACATCATAGGATTAGCCTTCTACCCATCTCACCTCACGGCCCCTGGGAAGATTGCACCACCCAGCAAGATTCAACGGACCTTGGGATTCAAGACAGCCTACAAAGTTACCCCTGCATGGCCCCATGGGAGTCTAACAACCTGTTAACCTTAAATTAGGGTTTAAGAACTGACCAGCAGAGAATAGCTGCTGTATGCTGTGAAGCTGATGTAAGTCTGGCTGATGTAACAAGAGCGATTCAGCAGAGTATGAGTATTTTCCCTTTAAGGCTGGAGAGTAAAGTGCCCCTTAAGAGGTGTGTATATAAAAGGAAGCCATTAGAGGGCATAGCTCTCTTTCCTTGTGGCCAGTGCTCAGTGCAGAAGTTCTCTGTGTGTTAGGAAGAAGAAAAGCTTGCTTGTAAAGGTATTTTGCCTACCACATGTATATTGTCTGTATATATCTGTTGTATATTAAACCACTGTTAATGTCTAAGTCTCTGTGTGCTGTACTTTGCTCCTGGGTTATCTCATAAAGGTAGTCACACTGCCAAACGCTCTGACACAACCAATCAGAACACATGCCCTTCCCACAGGAACAGGAAGCAAGTTCAAAGCCCAAGAGACGGTATAAATCTCTCTCTCTCTCTCTCACCCATGGGCTCAATTGCCCAGGACCTCAAACCTTGTGGTCCTGTCCACCATTAAACCATCTTTCCAAACAGCCTCCATGTTTCCGGTGTCTTTCTTCCCCACTTGGAACTGAACCCAGAGGGGCGTTTCTCCCAACAGTAGTTTACACAGACAGGAAAATGGGAAGATCTCGCGGGCCGAATATTTATCTTTTCAGGAAGAATTTCCATTCTCCCTTCTGATCGAAGTTGGAATGAGTAAATGAGGATCTGGTGAATCTTCCAAGAATTTGGAGGCTTGTTTCTTCATCTTGCTTGCAGCAATTGGGGCCGATGAGCTGGAAGGGCAGGCGATTCCGTTGTGAGGAGGTGCGCCACCAAGTAGAAACGGCTGCGTGGAGATCAAACGGGGTCTGGGAGGAGAAAGATGAAAACAATTGCTGTGGGGAAAAAAGTCACTCTTTCTCTGTGGTTGCTCCCCCACTTGAGTGCTTAGCTTTTCAATGTTTTTTTTTTTTTAGACAGCAAAGTGAACTAATGTGTGGAAGAAAACAGCTTTTAATTTGCTCAATACCTATTGATGTGGTGCATATTGATAGCTTGTCTCCCTTTAATGTGAGTTTTCTTAAGAGGTACTTGGCCCAGGAGATCATTCCCTGACTATTTAACGGAGCCCTTTCATGCTCAGGTCTCTTTAATTGCCCATATGGCCCTTTGGAGAACGGGGGTATTTACAGGGCGCCAAAGTGAAACAAGAGGTCATTCCTTTGCTTAACAACCACGCACATATTCCAACACAGGTCCTATGAGAAATGCTCCTAGCGCACTTATCGTGCCACCTTTAACCTGAAATTGTATGTGGTTATTTTACTATTGCTTTTTCAGGCGAAAGAGCTCCTAAAATAAGAGAATTAGGAATCTAGATCCCACAATGAGACCTATAAAACGTAGCCTCAATCCATGCTGGCTTGCTTGTTTATCCAAGATAAACCTCCCAGAAAATCTCTTGTCTGCCAACGGCCCAAATGCCAGGCGTGAATCAATTCTGACTTGTCAGAGGTTTTTCTACTTGGAAAAAAAACAGACTTAAACATTCCATTTTAAAGATGGAAAAACATTCTTAGCATTCCATCTATTCTCCCACGAGACCTTCTGCAACAGGGGTGTCAAACTCGATTCTATGGAGGGACCCATTACGGTTGTATTTGACTTGGGGTGGGGGGGGCGCTGAATGCGCGTGGCCAGATGTCACTCGTGTTGGGGTCCCTCCGTTTCCAGGGTGGCTCTGCGGGCCAGGTCAGAGCACCCCACGGGCCTTGAGTTTGACACCTCTGCATAACATCAAGCTTTCCTCACGGAGAAGAAGCCCAACCAAAGTGGTGAATGCAGTGAACCCCAACACACACACACACACCCAATGATTCTATGATTCCCTTGCGCTGTCTTCAAAATCCCGGAGTGCCCTCCGTTTCATTCAGGGGAAGAGTCAGAGAAGCCAGACAGAACTGGCCCCTGGATGAGGAACAAAGCCCGAGGCCCAGAGGAGGAAGCCTACGCCCACTGCTTGCTAGCGCTGCAGAAAAGCTCTGCAGGGGCCCAGAGATTGTTGGATGGCCTAGATGAGGAGACAGAAGCGGGACTCATCTGTTTTGTGGATGACACCAAGCTGTGGGAAATAGCCAACTCTTTGGAAGACGGGCTTGGGCTTCAGAAGGCTCTCCACAGATTTGAACCCTGGTCCCTATGCAACGAAATGCAACTCAGTCCTGGGAAACGCAAGGTTTTAAACTCAGGAAAGGGAAGGCAAATGTATAAGGATAGAAGGGGTGGTGTACCTGGTCAAACGGTAGTAATTGTGAAAGGGACGTAGGGGTCCTAGTGGACAGTCACTTCAGTGTGAGCCAGCAGTGTCCTGGAGCTGCCCGAAAGACAACACATTCTTAGGTTACATCAACAGAGTGACAGTATCAAAATTACGTGGAAGTGATAGTGTCGCTTTGCGCTGGTAGAACCACATTTGGAAGAGCGCATCTAGTTCTGGTCACAATACAAAAAAAGATTCGGAGACTCCTGAGCTCGGTTTTCCCTGGCAGAGGCGCTGCGGGCCAGACCTTCGCTGTTTCCGGGGCGTTTCCTGATCTAAGCACCCCGTGGACTGGAGTTTGACACCCCTGTTGCAGACAGAAAGAATTGGGAGGCAAAGAGGAGACGTGTTTTGACTTTATTAGAAAAATGTGTATTTATACAAAGCCCTACATTGCACCCTTTATACAATGGTTCCCCCAACAGACTGAAACCCAGCCTGATAAAACTCCACATAGGCTTAAGTGACACACATCCTGGTCCCTGTGCAGGATTCGCATTAATTATGCTACAAATTACAACATTCGGTAGAAAAATTCTTGGTCTTCTTCACTGTCTCCCGTGTATATGCGACCAATCTCCCCACAGCGACTTAAAAAACAAAGCATGTACATACACTTTTTGTGTCATTCTGTAAAAAAAAACAGACATTATCAAAACGGTACCGAAAACCACTCCATTTCTCGGCCAGTGATGCCCCAACCGACCAACGCCTCTTCATGCAAACCGACGGCCAGCTCGTCTGGGGTTTTCTTTTCAGGCAGCAGCGAGAGATGCAGGCGAGGGCGAAGGGCGAAGGGTTGGGGGCCACAGCTGCTTCTAGGCCCTGCGCAGCCGTGGCGGGAGGTTCCTTCCCCCCCCCCAGCGGAGCCAGGCAAGGGTTGCCAGAGCAGCGTTTACTGGCCCGGGGAAGGGAGGGTGGGGGGCACAATGCCATCCTGGGGTGGCGGGGTGGAAGCAGCAGTGGCAGAGGCAAGCAAGCCAGTGGGAAAGGAAGGCAGGCAGGCAGGCAGGCCCTCTTTCCATCCAACCCCCCCCCCGCCCCCCTCAGCCTCCCTGGGAGAAGCCCAGGTGCTTCAGATGTCCATGCAGTCGTTGTCCTCCTCCTCCTCTTCCTCTTCCTCCTCCTCTTCCTCGCCCTCCTCCTCTTCGGAGTCGCTCTCCAGGGAAGATTCTTGGCTGGAGGTCTCCACCACCTCCAGGGCAGGCTGGCAGAGGCTCTCCTTCTTCACGTTGGCCGCGGACTGGGCCGAAAGGATCGCAGACTGTTCCGGAAGAAGAAATTGGGAAGCGGGGGGTGGGGGTCAGTTGCTAGTCTGAGCCCCTCGTCAGAAAAAGCCCCTTCGGCCCAGAGGAAAAAAACCCACCCTCTCCTGGGGGAGGATTAGCCCCAAGCACGGAGCAGAAATGGCCGCTTTTCTGTAGGCGTCGGGGGGGGGGGGGGGGGGGGAAAGCCAGCGGTTACCCCACGGTTTGGAGGGAGGGGGCCGTTCTCTGCCGCTCCCCCTCCTCACCGCCCTGTCAGCCCAGAACCCCTGCCCCACAACGACAGACTGCACCTTCAGCTTCTGCTTGGTCTCTTCCGAGATGCTGCCCTTCGGGGACAGGAGGGTGGGCGTTGGTGGGGTGACGGTGATCTCGGGGGGGAATTTGGAGACGGACGAAGGGATGAAGAGCTTTGGCACACCGGGCAAGGGGCGGGACTTCACTCGGCTGCTGCCGGCTTTGCTGACTTGCCTCCCCAGGGGGTGCCCATCTGCTGCGAGTTCAGCCTTGGAACTGGATGCTAAGAGACCCCCGCCTGCCCCCCCCCAAAAAAACATAAGTGAGCCCCAGGGGTCTCTTTGAAGGGGGTCTGTGTGCCCCTTGGAGAGGCTGGCTGCTCTTGGGTCTTCCGGACGGCTCCTTCAGCCTCCTTTTGAAGGCCGGAGGGCAGAGTGCAAAAATGGGGGTGGCCAGTAGATCCTTCCCACCCCCCCCAAATGGAACCAAGCGAGGGGCGAGGCTTTCCTCACCTGGACCCCCCATCTGTCCTGCTGACTCCAGCTCTACCTGCCAGGGGGGCAGACCAGAAGAGGGGAGGATGGCAGCCATTTTCATCGGCTGGCAGCCGGAGGATTCTTGCGGCACTCCCGCCAGGAGGGGCTCCGATCTGCTCTCCTCTTCTTTGTCTGCGGAAAGAAAGAGATCCACCAGGGTGAAGGTGACTCTTGCAGGTGTAAACTGCTCCCCCACCCCCCCACTCTCCGCCACAGGCCTGGAAACCCCTAGAAGAGGACAAGTAGAAAAAATGAAAAAGGGACAACACAACTATGGCAGAATATCAGCAGAGAGTCAGAATCTGCCAAGACGAAGTTCAGGAAAGCAAAGGCTCAGACATGGAAAAAAGACCTGCAATAAAAGTCAAAGATAATAATAATAAAAAAAGGTTCTTCCAACGTATAAATAACAAGAAAAAAAAAAATCAAGGACACAGTAAAGAGAGAAGATGGCAAGGAAGTAACAGGCAGCAGAGAGAAAGCAGAGCTAACTCGTTCTTTGCATCGGTCTTCACGCAAAGAGAAGCTATACCCCAACCTACCCCAAAACACAACTGTAAAAGACTGTTCCACTGATTAATTATTCTCACTGTTAGGCAGTTTCTTAGTTCTCCCCTTGGTTAGTTTCCATGGCTTCTTGTCTTGCTTTCTGGTGCTTTGCAAAATAAGTTGGCTCCCTCTTCTTCTTCTCTGGGGCAGCCCCTCAAATCCTGGAATGCGGCTATCATGTCCCGCCTCGCCCTTCTTTTCACTAGACTAGCTGTATCCAAATCCTGCAACTGTATTTTCACCTCCAGACCTTTAATCATTTTAGTTGCTCTTCTCTGCCCTTTTCCCCAAGTCTCAACATACTTTGTATGCTTCACTGCCGGTGTTTTAAAGGAGGGTTTTAAACCTCCCACACTGGAGGTTTCTAAGAAGAGATGGGACAACCGTTTGTCTAAAACGGTGTAAGGTCTCCTGCTTGAGCCAGGGGTTGGGCTAGAGGACCTCCAAGGTCCCTTCCAACTTTATTATTCCGTTAAAGGAAGCAAGAAGTGGAGGGACCCTGTGTCAGAAGTCCTGGGTCCTGCTTCAGCAGCCACCAAGCCTGGCCAGCATTCAAGGGGAGGGGCGTTGAAGACGCACCTTTCTGGGTCTTCCGGATCAAGCGGAGACCCCTTTGAAATAGCCTGATTTTTTTAAAACAGGCTGTAGGCTCTGAACACCTTCGTTTCTCAGGCTCCCTGTTCAGGTTTCCCTGCTTTGGAAAGCTGTTTCCTGCACCTTTTTGCCCAAGGGAGCATCTGGGGAGGGGCTTCCTGGACTGAAGGCCAATCCCACGAGGGCCATGCTAAGACAAAGAGACACCCCTCCGTACAGGATATTGTCCCCTATGTGCTGATCAAGATATTCACCCTGTCTATGCACAAGTACCAGGAACTGCATGGCTCAACAGCATCCCCGTTTCCCATCAGGGGCTACCCAGGAGGAGGGGTGAAGGGAGCAGTCACGGGCAACGGCCCCTCCGGTTTTCTTTGCTGCTAAATGAACGGCGCCAGCTACGGGAACGGCCCATCCGGAAACCCCAGGGAATTCCACACACGAGGCCAAAGCACCAAACAGGCACAACGGTCAGGTAATGGGAGAGGGGCCCTCGCCACTGGTCAGCTCCAGGGTCAGCAGAGGAGCCCCTGCAGAGTCCCCAGGGTGACTTATTTGCCCCTGAGCTGCCTAGGTGTCCAAGAGCCTGCTGTCTCTTCAGGATTGGCACAGAGAACAGGGGACAAGCGATCCTGGTTAAGAGGCAGCAGCCGAGAAGAATGCATGTGAAGGACAGAAGAGAATCCAGAAATCACAGTTGTTTGGAATTTAATTTGCTGCAGCGTTTCTTATTTTTTTTACCAGCTCGTTGAATTTGCCTATGTTGAAAAATACCTCCTTTACCATTTGCATGGCAGCAAACTGGGAAGCCAGAAGGGCCAATCCCATCCCGTCTTGACTCCACACTTTAACCAGTTAAAGCGTGTTATGTGCCTGTATGCGAACACTGCCAACTGAGACCGACATAGATTGGAAAACTGAGGATTTTCAGCTACAGAGCACTAAGCCATGCTCGGCCTTTCGTGAAAAACTGACATGTAAAAATCCAAAATGGCAGCTAACTTGACTGCATCAACTAAACCTAAAATTAGCTCAAGCTTTGGAGCGGAACTTGGGCTCAATTCTCACGCTGGGATTATTTGAAATGCAGCCTTTATGTGCGATGTGCAGAGCCTGTTATTAAGGAATCGTCCTAATTTCAGCGGGATCTCAAAGCACCCCCAGGAGGCTTTGCAGGAGACCAAGTGGACAGATTCACGCACACAGCATGCCAGACTGAATCTAGTCAGGTGAGGCCCACTATGGTCAGAGCTGCAGCTATTCCAGGACCTCATGTGACTTGCCCCGCCGTGACTCTGCTGAAGGACTTGAAGTTCCAGGCTTGCAGCTGGGATTTGGTAGCCAAAACAAAATACTTTCTCTTGCGAACCAAGGAGATTCTCACACCTGGCCAGAAGAAGGTGGAGTGATATCACCAGGCAACCAAACAGCATTGTGATTGGACCGATCATGTGACTGACTGTTTTGAGACAGTGACAACTTTTACTTTACTTAGGTGAAAACCACAGGAACCTCCAGAGTTGGTTTTCGCCAGACCTGTGCCAATATGATACATCCAATAAAGCTATTCTTTTGAGAATTCATCTGCCTCGGAGTTTTGCTTGACATGGGTCTCTTACCTGGAATCCTGACATGGCATTTGATGAGCATCATGTCCTGGTGCTGCTGCTCCTTCTTGGGCCAAACATTTCAAAAGAGGATTTTGCTTGTGCAGCCCCTAAACTGCTCTCTGTTAATCCTGATTTTTTTTAAATACGCACACACAAAATAGTTTGTGTAGGACATTGTGTGTCTCATTCCCTGCTTATTTCAGGAGATGTTGAAGAGATAATTCAGTTGAGGACCTGTATGCTTCACGAGTCAAAAAGAGGGCTGTGAAAATATCTACAGACCCCTCACACCCCGGACATAAACTGTTTCAACTCCTACCCTCAAAACGTCACTATAGGGCTCTGCACATCAGAACAACTACACACAAGGGGAGTTTTTCCCTGAATGCCATCACTCTGCTAAACAAATAATTCCCTCAACACTGTTTAACTATTTACAAAGTCTGCACTACTATTACTGTTAATTTTCTCCTCACTCCTTATCACCCATCTCCTCCCACTTGTGACTGTATGACTGTAACTTTGTCGCTTGTATCCTTATGATTTATATTGACTGTTTCCTAGTATGATTCAATTGCTTATTGTACCCTCCAACTATTATTAAGTATTGTACCTGATGATTCTTGACGAATGTATCTTTCCTTTTATGTACACTGAGAGCATTTGCACCAAGACAAATTCCTTGTGTGTCCAATCACACTTGGTCAATAAAGAATTCAATTCTATTCTATTCTTATTCCTATTCTAATTCCATTCCATTCCATAGTTTCTGTTTCTATTCCATCCCATCCCATCCTATTCTATTAGATGCCACTAGAGAAAGTCACCCAAGGGCTGAGCATAAGTGGTACCGTGATAGTGGTGATTATATTAGGTTCATTTTTAAAAACTGACTAGCGGCCCAAGGCCAACAGACTGTAACTATTCCTGATCAATGGCAATAGGTCCTGCCCAGGATGAAAGGAATGTTGTGAGGATAGGAAACTGGCAGTTGCTCAGCGTATCACCTCCGTGAAAGACAGAGCCTTCCTGGAGACTGTTGGGTGGTCAGAATGGCCGGGGCTGCTAATCCACTACCTGCCCCAACTGCCCTCAGGCTGGACTCTGTGAGGCTGCCTTGGAACGGTCTGGAAGCAGCAGGTGGTGCAGAATTGAAACCCCTTTCCAACACACAGAGGGAGAGCGAGAGCTGCCGTCTCCTCCAGCTACTACGGCATTTCTGAATCCGTTTCTCCGTTTTCTTGAGAGCCTCAGCTGGTTTGGCGCCATCTTGTCTAAAGGCTACTTTCCTCAGTGAAGATCCGCAAGGGAGACCCTCCACCCCCGGGGCCCATCAGCCCTTCCAGGCCAGCTTTTAAGGAAGCCCCGGGGGAGCAATTGATGCTCTCAAGCCTTCCTCCCACATAGATTTATTGCTGTGCTTGGAAATTTAGCTGGGTTTTAATATCCAACGCAATGGGAAGCTTTGACTACTTCAAACAAGTCGATTCTGAGAAGGAAGTCCCATGGCTGCTTACAGCAACTGCCACCAACCACAGGAAGAGACTCTGAGGAGGCAGCAGGCCAAGCAGTCAAAAAGCAGCGTCTTCACAGGAGAAAAACTCACCAGGCTTGAGGCTGGAGGTAGGAGGTATCTCCTTGACGTTCTCCACCCCTGCCGGCTCCTGCGGCGGCAGGAGAAGACCGCCGGTGGTGGAAGAAGAGGAGGAGGAGGAGGAGGGCGAGGCTGCCTTGGGCTTGCTCTGCTGGTCTGCCAGTCTGGGCAGAGCTTCTGCAACCGAGGAAGTCGCGTCCGCAGCGGTCCCCATGGGGGGTGTCAGAGACTTAGGGGCAGCTGCAAAGAAGTGGTCCCGGCTATCTCTGGGGTGCTTCGGGGTGGCTGGGGCATCTCCAGCCAACTAGAAGAGAGAAAAAGGAAAGGCAGGGCGACGGGTGTGTGTGTGTGTGTGTGTGTGTGTTTCGTAACGGCACGAAGGGCCCAACTCCACTTCGCTGGCAAATTCTACTGAGTGCGTTTCTTAACTCTGCACCCCACCCCGTAAAGGCCTCTATGGGTCAGGCTTAAAGAACCGTCTAAAATCCAGGCACCGAGCTTGCCTTCTCCTAAATGATGCATTTGGGGAGATGTGGCTACGAACCCAAATCTCTCCAGAAAGAAATGCAACCCCCCCAAAAGAGAGAGCAACTTTCTCTTGGGAGGCGATGTGACGGAGGCACCGTGAGCCACGGAATCGGTCCCAAAGGGCCACCTTCTGTGGAAGGTGGCCAGGCCACTTCCCACCGTTGCTCAGAGCCAGCAGCCCCATGCCACCTCTCTCCCTGGCACCTCTGGAGCCCCAGTAAAAGGATCCCGTGGCTTTTCTCAGGAAAGGCTTGCAGGAGTGGGGAGGAAAGGCGGCTGCCCTCAAGAGCCAGCTGCTCCCAGGGTGCTTTAGAAATAAGGAACACACGTCAAGAAAGGAACGAGAGGGAAACGAACCGGGCACAAATGTAACCTGGCCTCAGACTGAGCCCAAGGACGAGCCGGGACCCAATCGGAATCTCTACATTTCTGACACACGCACACCCCCAGGCTGAAGCAGGGGCAGGCAGGCAGTCCAACACACCCTTTTTGTCCTCCAATAAAACACCCCGAACGCAGGACAACAGAGTCACGGACCCTGAGAACAAGCAGCTGTCCAGTGCATGGGGGCTATTTGCAGACTGGATGCTCTGCATCTCTCACTGGACCCCCTCGGGGAGCGTCCGGGGCTCCGCTGGGGAGGCGAAGAGGCGCAGAGCAAGCCAACTCTGGTGTGGAGGGAAGGGAAGGGCCGATCTGAAGCCCAGCAGAGCCACTCCAGGGGCTGGCAGGACCAGGCAGGGCTCTCCCCCTCCTTCACTGGGCTCCCAGCAGCAGCCACAGAGCAGCTCTCCCACGGGCTGAGGAGACGCCGGCCGGAGACTTACCTGCTTTTGGGCAGAAGCGCCAATGTGGACTTGGCAAAATTTGACGGCTTGTTCTAGAGCGGCCGCTTCGTCAACCTGTGGGCAGAAATCACAAGGGGGAGTCAAAGGAGACCGAAGGGGCTTCCTAAAAGATATTCCGCCAGCCCCGCCTGGGATCCCCAGAACCGTCGTCTCAGGCTCCCCCCTTAGCGAAGCTCTGTCCTAGGAAGGGCTCAGCTGGTTTCTCTTGATAGAAAGACTGGATCTGCCTCCGAGACAACCCCTCTGGGGACAGCCTGCCTTTTTCACGGCTGGCTACGTTGCTTCTTTTTTGTAATGGTTTTGGTTTCAGTTGGGACAGTGCTTGCTTATTTTTACTTAAGGACGATCCGGGTGGATCACTTATTTCTAAAACGTAGGTCTTTGTGACGCACCCTGGGGTGAAACTAGTAAGAGTCTGCCAAGAGGACAGCTAAGGGCGCCATTGCAAGCCAAGACCTCATGAGCCCTTGACTCACTTGCTTAATGAGCATGTAGGTCTCAGACATGATCTTCTCAATTTTGCCCAGGTCGTAGGTCATGACCTTCTGCCCTTGCTGCCACACGCGGTAGGCGTCCAGAAGGAGGGTCTTCCCCGACTCCGTGTCCCCGGCCAGCTTCCTCTTCCGGTTGGCCTTCTGGCTAGTCTCCTCTGTGGGGCCGGCCTGGCCCTTCCCTGCCTCCAGCTGCTGGTGCTTGGAGCTGATGCTTAAGTCCTCCAGGGACAGCTCTGCCGTGGTCTGGCTCTCGGGGGCCTTGTCCTTGCAGACCTTGCCAGGGGGCAACTGGGCCGCCTCAGGATAGAGAGAGAAGGCCTCCATTTTTTCAGGCTCAGCAGCAAAGGGGTCGCACTCCATGGGTTCAGCAGGGCCTGACGGAGACGCTTCTTTCGGGGGTTTTTCCGGCTTGCCCTCATCTGGCTCCATGGCCGTGAGAGGCTGGTCCTGTCCCTCTCCTTGGGCCACATCCTCAGTGCTGTAAGATGCCCCTTCCCGTCCGGACAAGGCTGCCTTTGGGGGCAGGGGTTCCTGACCATCCTCCGCGCTCGCCTTGTGAAAGACATCGGTAGTCATCCTTGTCTCCAAAACGTCGCAGCACTGGCCGCTTTGATCTTCGGAGACCTTCGAGGCAAACAGAGTTAGCTGGCTGGATCGCCACAAGAGTCTGCATCATCGTGGGCGGCACGGGAAGACTTACCTCGGTGAGCTCATGCAACATGTCCTCTAGCACCATCACGGTGAGAACAAAGGCGCGCTGGGCGAGAACCTGGCGATCCGCATCCCGCAAGTATTTCCTGCAAAGTGTGGAAAGGAGGCGCCGAGCAGGTTAGATGCAGGGGCTGCCCATCCTTTCAAGGGGATCCGAGCTGCCTGCCACACTCCCCGGGGCACCATCGTGTTCTCCCAGGCCCACCTTACAGGGCAGCGGCTACTCGGATTCAGTCGCGGGTGGAGTAAAACCTTCCATGGTTTTATATTCAGCGAGGCTTTCTACCCTCAGCCATAGACTCGCTTACAGAGTCGCCTGGCTGAAGTTAAAACCACACGACTCCAAATGGCAACAGAGCCTCCGAGACTAAAAGCCTCGAAGGGACAATTTCTGGCCTCCTGTCATCCCCAAGAAGCGGATGACAAACGGAGGAGGGTTCGTGTTCCTCTTCCTGGAACTGGCCTGGCCTGTTAGAACCTTAGGATGAAACTTTGCCCTGACGACCAGACATGATCCCTTGACAGGGCTCCACTTCTATCAAAATAAAATAAAAAAATCTTTGTGCTACCAACTTGCAAAGGCTGCTAACAAACACTTCCCCCTGCTCGGCCCAACTGCCGCCTTTTCCCCCCAAAGAAAGCTTCGGTCCAGTGTCATCTATTCAAAATACTTTGGACAACTTGGAGAAAGCGCCAGTAGCGTTAATCAGAGGCAGAAACAAGACAATGGGTGCAGCACAGAAGCCCGTGGCTTTTCCTAAGCTCTGATCTCCAGGGCGGGTTTGTTGGTTTCTTTTTGCTTCTTTGCGGTTCCCAACCCCAAAGCTCAAGTCCCAGCTCAGGAAGGCCCAGGTGACCCAAGGAAAGCCACCTCTGGTTTTGGGAATGCTACCAAGAAGGCCTTCCCTTCCCTTCCCGTGGGGTTATCTCTGGGACCTCCTCCCCCACCAACAAAGCCCCCTCGCGGCGGAGGGAACAGGGCACTCACTTTCCCTGGTCGGGGGTCCTCTGCAGCATAGAGGAGATTTTCAGCAAAGTGTGGTAATCTTTGAGCTGGGACAGCACGTTCAACAGCAGGACAATGGAGCGGTTCATATGAGAGGCGAAGCTACCGGGACGGTCGATTTCATCCACGGGGATGCGCCAAATTCCCTGTGCAGGAAGCAAGAGGAGGAGGAGGAAGAGGAGACCTTCACTAACGGGCCATGCTCGTCCCTCTTGGACGCTGGCAGGCAGAGGACTGGACAGGCTCTTGGACAGGCTGGCTTCCCCCATCTAGTCTGCAGCTGGGCCACTGGAGAGATCTTGCTCACCGCCGCCAGCCGCCTTACCCAGCGCAAGGCATGTGGGCTTGCAGAAAATCTACTCTTGTGATTTGAACTCAGCTATTCAAGCTTAAAGAGAGAAAGGGAGAGGACTTGTCTGATTGATGATTTGGGTCCTAGCCAAGTGTGGTCAGTCGTGGAAGAAACAGAGAGAGAGAGACCACAGCAAATGTTGGTTAAGCTGCCGCCAATAATGGGGCAAGACCAGGACCAGGTCTTGCTAATTCATAAAACAATCCAGCTAATTAATAAAAGCTAATTCAGGGGAGGTAATGGAGGGGCCTGTCCTGCACCCAGAGGTGGAAACGGGCAGCTGAGGATGCAAAGGAGGCCCGTCGGTCGGCGGAGGTTGCCTTGGAGGGTGTCTTAAGGGCCGGGACACCTGCTGGCTGCTCCACGGGGACTCGGGAGACTATTCACCCGGCTGGGCCCGGCGATCCTGAGGTTCCCATCATTGAAAGCTCCCCCCGCCCCCCGCCGCCTCCCCGCAGCTCTTGGTCCTCCGGGCGTTGGAATCCGGCTTGGAGGCGAGGCAGGGCCGCTCCACGGCCGGTGACTCCGGATGCCCGAGTCGGGCTCGGCGGCTGCGCCAGCATCTCCTGGCACCGAGAAGCGTCCGCGAAGAGCGGCCGGGAGGGCCGCCGCTCTCTGTGCGCCCGGTCGCAATTCAAAACGGAGCCGCCCAGGAAGGAAGGAAGGGAGCGAGCGAGCGAGCGCGGCGGCGGCGACACCGGCCTACCGGCCCTTCAGCCGCCGCCGCCGCCCGCGCCCGCCTTCCTTGCCGGGAGCGGTCGCGCCGCCCTCGCCCCGCCGACGCCCGCCCGCCCGCTCACCATGTCGGCCGGCCGCAACCAGCGGCCCCCGCCTCGCCAGTCCCCGAAGAGCGGCAACGGCCGGGCCGGGGGCGCGCGCGCGGGCGGGAGGTGGGTGGATGTTGTGGCGCCGCCTCTGCCTCCTCCGCCGCCGGGGCTCTCGCGGCCGTTTCCGGGCGGCGCCCGTGCGTGGCTCCGCGGCCGCCGGAGGAGGAGGAGGAGGAGGACGGAGTGGCCGCGGCCTCACCCGAACGGCTCGCCCCGCCGCTGCCCGCCTCGGCCCGTCCCGCGAAGCCCGTCCCGCGCGCCGCCTACCTCCCCGGCAGAGAAGCCGCGACCCGCCGCGCCGCCCGGCCCGCTGCCCCCGCGGGAGCCGAAGGAGGGCGGCGGCGCTGCGCTCTTGTGCCCGCCGCTGCAACGCCTGGATCGCCTCGGGGAGACGGCGCCTTCCACCCCGCGGCGGCACCTGCTCGGCGCGGCCGCTACGAGGCTGAGAAAACGGCGCCTCCGGCTCCGCGCCCGCGCCCCGTTTCCCCGCTCCCCTTCGAGCAGGAGGGCCCGGAGCGGGGGAAAGCGAGGGGCTGAGCGGGGGCTCCTCTGCAGGCACCACACGCGTCCCCCGCCCCCCCCCCCCCCGCACAGGCCTTGGGCAGAAAGCGGGGAGCTCCTGAAAGAGACCCCCCCCCAATCCCTGACCTTGAGGGGATGATGGGGCGCCGGGTTTTCTTTTCCGGAGGGAGGGAATTCCCACTGAATTTAACACACACACCCCCGCCCCCCGTTTGACCAGATGGGGAAGCACCGGGTTTGGGTCTGTTTTTACACCTGTTTTAAAACTGAAATTCTCTTTCAGATAAAAAAATATCCTGCCAAATGAGCAAAATAACCACTTTTGCATTGCTGAGGGGGCAAGGGGGGGGGGACGGGGGACGCCATGACACCCCCCACAGCAGCAACCTCACTCGCTCTTCGCCCAGAAGCGCTTTGGCCCCTGGCAGCAGCAGCGCTTTGTGCTTCCCCTCTGCCGGGGGGTGGGGGGTGGGGTGGGTGTCCAACTGGTCTGGATGCTCCTGTCCGAGCAGCAGATTGAGGGGGGGGAACATTGCCTATCTTGGGGCCCAAGCGCTGGTTCTGCCCTCCCTTCATTTGGACGGGGGGGGGGAAGCCAGGCGATCACGATTCACCCCCTTCTCACCGGGCTTAAGTGCGGGGCTTCAGTTGCTGCTCCCAAGCAAAGCCAGCTCCCTTTCCCAGACTTTGGGAAGCAGCTACCCTATCCCGAGGAAGCGGCCTGGGCCCTTTGGGGCTGGTCAAGGCCTGCGCTTGAGTTTAAGGGAGGGCTGGTCCCACTGGCTATTTAGGGAGACCTGCAGGGCCATCCCTAGGCCCCATCCTTCTGGACAATTTTCATCCCGTTTCCCTAGCCTTCCCTTTCTGGGGGGAAGGCGGTAGAGAGGGTGGCCTGAGTCGAGACCCTGGGCTGACCTGCGGAGGGAGTGGTGCCTCCTCCCCCTTAGCAGCTTTCAGTACCATCAATCACGGTATCCTTCTGGACCGGGAGTTGAACCCTTGGGCTGGTTCCCCTCCTCCCTGCTGATGGGCCAGAACGCTGCAGCTTCCTTTGCCAGGAGCTTCAGGCCTCTTTCCGCTCCCGTTTCACACGCAGGCGAAGCGGCTGGGTGAACTCATCCAACTCACCGTCTCAACGCCTGAGTGCCCTGAAGCTGCGGGAGCTGGGGGTGGGTGCAAGAGGCTCCACTTCAACCCAAGCAAGACTCTGGGCTCTTGGACCCCACGGTTTCCCCTTCCCATCTTTGCTGACTTTGCCTCTGTTCCTCCTAGGAGGGGACCTTGGGCAGCCCAGAAAGACCCCCAGGTGGCATTAGACAGGCAGACAAAGACCCCACGCTACTTTGGCCTGCTAGTTCTGCTAGTTCTGGACTGACCGGGGGCTCCGGCTCAGCCTTTAGAAAGAAGTCCAGCTGTTGGACTAAAGCTATCAAAGGCCCTTCCTTCTCAAGTTCGCACTTGTGCCCTGAGGCCACCTCTGAGTAGGAGGCAGAAGAAGGCAGTGCCTGACTACCTCAATACCTAAGAAGATTCCGGAAAAGATAAGCAAGCAAGTGTGAACACTTAGAGGCAAACACAACCATCATCACTAAAAGCCAACATACGGGTTTTGAAAAAATGGATCAGGCCAGACAAATCTTACCGAATTATTTGACAGTGACACAATTAGTGGACCAGAGGAATGCTGTGCATATAATTTACTTGGGCTTCAGTAAGGCCTTTGATAGAGAAAACCACAACCTACTTCTTGATGAGATAGAAAAAATGTGGGTTAGATTAGCATCACCACCAGATAGATTCGTAACTGGCTGACCAACCAAACTCAACGAGGGCTAGATGGGGAACTCATCAGATTTGCAAACAACACCAAGATAGCAGGAATAGCCAACACCCCGGAAGACAGGCTTAAGATACAAAAGGATCTTGACAGATTTGAAAACTGGGCGCTATCTAACAAAATGAAATTCAATGGTGAAAAAAGGAAGGCTCCACTTTTAGGCAAGAAAAACCAAATGCCCAGGTACAGGGTATGTGGTACCTCACTCAATAGTATTAACTGGGAGAGGGATCTTGGAGTCCTAGTGGACAGTCGCTTAAATATGAGCCGTCAGCGTGCTGCAGCTGCCCAAAAAGCCAATGCAATCCTAAGTTGCATTAACAGAGGGATAGAATCAAGATCAAGTGAAGTGTACTAACACTGGTTTATAGAGCCTTGGCAAGGCCACCCTTGGAATACTGCATCGTTTTGGTTGCCATAATGTAAAAAAACAAATGGAGGCTCTGGAAAAGAATGTAGAGAACAGCAACAAAGATGATTTGGGGATTGGAGGCTAAAACATATAAAGAATGGAATTGCTGGAATTGGGTATGTCTAGTTTAATGAAAAGAAGGACTGGGCTGACATGACAACGGTCTTCCAATATCTAAATATCTAGCACGAAGAAGAAGACGGAGTCAAGCTATTCTCCAAAGCACCTGAAGACTAATCAATCAACCAACCTAGAACTAAGGAGAAATTTCCGGGCGGTAAGAACAATGAATCAGTGGAACAATTTGCCTCCAGAAGTTTTAGGAAGAGACTGGGCAACCGTTGGTCTGAAACAGTATAGGGTTTCCTGCCTCATCAGGGGTTGGACTAGAAGACCTCCAAGTCCCTTCCAGCTCTGATTCCATCCCTTTCCATGCCAAAGAAGAGAGGGGAGAGAAAAAAAATTAATGGATCCTATCCAAAGGGAAGAGATTGGGGGCTCCTGTGGGGCTTTCTGGCGTTCTATCATGGGGTTCGTAGAAACACAACTACGGATTTCCATATATATATTTTTTTTCCTGGAAACTTATCATCCATATGTTCCATTCTCACTTTTTCGGAACCAGGGCCAATTGAAACAGTAAAGCAAGAAAGCCGCCACGTTTCTGGCGTTTTCGGGAGCATCTGCAGCTGCCCTTCCATGCGCCTGAAAGGCATAAGCCTCTGGGAGTGGCGGCTCCCTTCCTCACATGGGAGACCCCTTTATATCACATGGGAGCTGAGTGGAAGATGGACTCTCAATTCCCTCCCTGTAACCTCTCCGCACCAGGGCCTGGAGAGCTGCTGGGGCTAACATCCTGTCTATAGTTCATCTAAAGCAGGGGTCCCCAACCACCGGTCCCCGGACCGGTACCGGTCCGTGGATCACTTTTTACCGGGCCGCAAAGCTTGGGCGCCGCCATCTTGTTTCGACGACGCTTGTGGGTTTTGGGTTGGAAAGTGCTTCCGGTTTTTCAGTTGGAAAGTGGCGTTTGGGTGCTCGCGCCTTAGTTTCGTCGAAGGGGGAGGGGGCGGCTTCGAACGAAGAGCCGTCCTGATGGCGGTGGAGTCTCACGTTACTCAGGTACCGGTCCGTGGAAGAATAAATAATCGTGAAACCGGTCCCTGGTTCGAAAAAGGTTGGGGGCCCCTGATCTAAAGGGTAAAACCCCGAAGGGTATAAAAGTGGCAACGCAGCTCCTGTGCCACAAACGAGCCTGACTCTCCGCCCACAACGGCATTTCCAGGAACTGGACTTCACATTCACATCAACTGCTCTCAAGGCCATGACTTTGGGGACAGCATCCTCATCAACTTTAAATGTTTCTTCGCTCTCCATGGGCTGAAATGCTTCCAAATTCCTGCCATTAGTTCCTTGGTAGTAGAGGGATATGGAATGCCTCGTTCTGGGGGGGTGTGGGGTGATGATGAGGGGGTGAACAGGTACTGCTCTGACCAAAGCAACCTCGTCCCTGTAGCAATGTTGTTCCGCTCAGCCAAGTCAGAGGCCAGACAGAGCTGCCCGAGGCCCTGCAGGTGGCTCGGGAGCCGCAACTCCCAGGGCAGAGAAGGCCTGGCCTGGCCGGCCGGCCTGCCTGCCTGGAGCCTCGCCCGAGGCAAAGGAAACAAGCCACGGGGAAAAGCCAGAGAAAGCGCCCTGCTTGCAGCCCGGGCAGGCGGCCCACTTACGTTGAAGAAGTTGGTCTTGTTCCTCTCACAGAAGAGACCCTGCGCTGGCATGTGCCTCAGCTGCTGCCAGGGGAGACTGCTGCCTAGCAGCACATCACGCGCCCACGGCAGATTCTATATAGGACAGAGTGCAAGAAAAGAACAAATTGGTTGGCAGGAAGGAGAAGCCAGAGCGGTGGGTGACAGCTGCTGCGTCCCTTCTTCCCGCCCCTCCCTCCTTCCAAGCTCCCCAAGGTACCACTTTCAGGCAAAGCCGAAAGGCTGGGAGGGGGGGGAAGAGGGGGGTAACCGGGGCTCTTCAGAACCACACGTCCCCTTCCTCGTTGGGAGGGTACAGCAGACTCTCCATCCCCTCCAGGCCTTTCTCCTGCTGACGAGGTGTCCCAGAGACGCTCAGCACTCTCACTCCTGCTCTTCTGGCTACTACGAGGAAGGTGGGTTTTCACCTCTCCCTGTTATTTGGTGCAGAATGTCCCTGCCTGGAAGGGGAGCCAAGGGGGGCGCAGGGGTAACATTCAGAGTCCCGGCCTCTCTTAAGGTGCTGCCCGTGTGGCTAGGCTGGCCACTGCCTTCTTTTGTGGCCGGGAGAAAGGGAGGCCGGGTGTCCGCAGTTCTCCCTTTTTTTGGCCCAATGCTGGTTTTAATGAAGGTGGCCAGCAATAGGGGTGAGGGGGAGTCCGGTATGCGGGACCCTTTCCAGAAAAAAGCCACTCTGCACGGGCTGGGAAGACACTTCAAAGAAACTGATGATGTTTTGTCAAACCCAGTACGGTATGTATGTCAGAAGGAAAGAAGCCAGGCTTCTGGGGCATCTTTTATCTTTCTTTCCCGTTGAGGCTAGGTTTCTAGTCCTTAAGAGTCCCCCTTCGAGTTATAATCAGGGGCCAGCAGAGTCCCAGGGAGCAGGAAGTTGGCAGAGGGGCTTTGCTGGCACAGCTGCCCTGCCTAGTGCTGCCCTCGTGGACTCCCCGCCTTGTTTTGGGCCTGAATCCATTCCTGTTACCAAGGTTTATTCTGCAGGTAGAGCCCTCCAAGGGTCCTGGCCTGTTTTCTACTTCGGTGAAAGGTGAATCGTCCTTGCCTTGTTCCCCTCTCCCTTACGCTTGCAGACCCTTGGCCCTTCCCAGCCCCCACACACTACCTTATGGGTGGGGCTGCAGGCATAGAGGCAGGCCAGGCGGTAGAGGCTCTTGTAATGCTGGGGGAAGCGGCTGAGGCAGAGGTGGAAGGCGGCGGTGCAGCGCTCGGTCAGGAAAGTGCGCTGCTCCTCCAGGTCTGCGGGGAGGCCCTGGGCGAACTGGCTGGTGCAGAGGGGCTCGGCTGGTCTCTTGGGGTCCCCCTGGGAGGGGAGCGGGGGAACAGAGGCTTTGGAAGGTCCCTGGGGAGGGGGCTTCGGCTCCGCAGCACGGCAGGCGTCAGGGCTGCCCAGGGGGTCTTCCAGCTTTCCTGGAGGGGCCAGAAACAGGCAAGGTCACCCCAATCCCCCCAAACTGCCCGGTAGGTAAGACAGGAGGAGAGCGGAGAGGCGCCCCCGGCCTCAGCTTTGCCTTCCGCTTCCAGCAGTAGAAGCCCAGGAAGGGGGCTTTCTTTCCCTGGCACAAGGCCCGAAAGCTCCAGCCTTGCCCAACTTACCCCTGTCCTCTGTGGGCGCCAGGCTCTCTTTCCCGGGTGCCGCGGTGTCCGAGCAAGGAGCCAAGGGCCTCCCTTCCGGAAAAGTCTTCTTGTTGTTGCTGTCCGGGAGGCTGGCAAGCTCCGTAAAGGTGTCCTGGGTGGAATTGGAGTCCGAGAGCCCCACCGCTGTGCTGTCCTGACTCCTGTCTGCACAGGAGAAATGGAACCAAGTGAGATGGTGTTTTGGCGGCAACACCCCCACCCCCCTTTTTTTTCCAGACAGCGGCTGCTGTCCCCCTCTTCTCCCCCACCCCGCTCCATTTCGGCACCCAGTTTCTAGTAAGCGCAAAGAGCAACACACCCACTCATTTGTTTCAGCACGCGGCCTCTCCTCTTGCAGCCCAACTAACACTTCTTCAATTTAAAACTTTCGGCTAGAAATAATTGTAACTGCAAGGATATTTGAAAGGTCTTCGCCTTCAGGTGATTATGGCATTGCAGCGAAGGAGCCGTGGCTCCTTAAACAGGGAAGCAGCTATTGCATCACAACAGGGGTGTCCAACCTTGGCAACTTTAAGACTTGTGGACTTCAACTCCCAGAATTCCTCAGCCAGCTTTGAATTCTGGGAGTTGAAATCCACAAGTCTTAAAGTTGCCAAGGTTGGACACCCCTGCATTACAAGCTTTTGGGGGGGAAATGCTCCTTTTTATCGGGTATCTTATCTTCAATTAGTAAGCTATAAATACAGATGTGCACAGTATAGCAAGCAATGAGAGTGACACTTAAAACTTGCAAGGAAATGATCATATGAAAGGGTAAATTGAGAACTCATCTGAGGATGGCTGAGAAGTTACAGAATGGGCAGTTGTCCGGACAGACCAGAGAAATCATAAATGGCTAACGTTCAGAAGTAAAAGGCAGCCTCGGTGTGCTAAGCTGGATTTGGCAATGCACCTTCTCTCCACTACATCACCCTCAACAAGCATACATGCAGCTGCACCCAAATAAATCTTCCTAGCATTTTATAATGAATAAGCCTTTGTTTTCAAAGGGAGGTCTAGGATTAAGTTCGACTCCCACCAAGCAAGGCTGCTCAGTTATTGGCAGTCAGGTACAAACAAGCAGATCCACACCTGAAGAGCTCAATTAGCTGGTTTCCTGCTCAAGCCTTTACGTAGGAGAAGACTGACAGTTTGCTTGTGGGTAAGACTAGATAAGGTTCAAGGGATTCTTGTGCCTATGTAGGGACTCCAGACTAATTCCCTATTTGACTCTTCCCCCCCCTGGTTTGGCTAATCTCCTCCACGTTGACTGACAAAAATCTCCCCAAACTAATCTTAAATGCAGGATAGCTAGGAAGCAAGCAACACTGACGCTTGGCATAAGGGGAAATTTTGCAGGAACAACTGACTGCAAGCCAACTTCTTATTCTTTTTTTTGGCAAGGTACTTTGGGGAAATTATCATTTTTAGTTGTGGTGGTACTAAACACATATGCAGATATGAACAAAAGTATTCCCCATAAATTATTTTTCCTGGTGAAAATCCATTTAGTCTGTTCTGACACTAGGAGATAAAAGATTGGCTCTGTTTGGCCAGATGTTTCCTTGCAAGGGCAGGAGGTAACAGTTCTCTAGGAATCTCTCTCTCACACACACACACACCTGTAGTCCAGCCATGAACATAGGCCGGAAACATCCTAAGCAGTCATTTTTCATCTTTAGGGAAGGCAACTATCTGTTTGTTCTGAATTCTGGCTCCTTGATCTAGCTCCTATCAATCTTTTAGTAATTGGGGGGCAGAATAAGGTACCAATACCCAACCTAAACTATTTGAGGGTGGCCTCAAGGGTGGCATAGAAAGTATTCTCACGCAGAACCTGCCCTCCAGCGAAGGGCCCATGACTTCCATTGCCAACGTGGCCTGCTTTTTCTGCAAGACTGGAGGATGGTATTTTGGAAAGTACTGTAGTATTGAAACAGATATATAAATATCTGGCTGAGTTTAGACTTGTCCAAACTTAGTAGGAATGGAGGGGGAATTAGAAAGAGAGGCCGCTGAAAGTACCCATGTACTCTGACACCCCATTCTGGGGGAGGGGGCCATTCTTGCCATTTCAGTGGGTGGTTTTATTAAAAATGGGTGGTCTTTGAGAAGAATATCCTTTGGACATTGAGGAAAGGAGCTGGTGGCTCTATTCTCCACGCCCCCTGTCCAGAAAGCTTGGAGGGAGGGGTGAAAAGTCAATCCAGCCCCAGAGGAGAAACCCAATCCTGTCCAACACAGGATAGAGCCCACATTAAGGGATGAAATCTTACTTTTTTTGTCACAATCACATTCACACAACAATTAAAACTAGAATTAAAATTAATTTAATTTAATTAAAATGAAATTGAAAATTAGAATGAAAAACTAGGGGAAATGGATTTGGCAGCCTGTTGTAACTCAAACAAAAGACCACTTCCGCTAAGAATTAAATGGCAGAGTTCGGCAGATCTCAGCTTATTCTGTCATTTTTTGACAACTGCTGATCCAGTTATGATGAATACCTTTTATTTCCTGTCAGGAAAGTGGAAGCAGTGGAGCTAATTGTCTGCTTTGTCTCTGCCATTTCTTACTGACCAAACAGCCAGAGGAGGAAAGGGTCATTAAGAAACTGGGAAATTTAGCAAGTGGTAAGCTGCTTCTGGTGGAGCTTCGTTGTGAAAGCTCCTGTAAGAAGGAATCCTCTAAACTCTAAAGCTGCTCAGAGTGGCAGTAAATAAAACTTAGGGGAAACGCTTCAACATTCTGAACTTTGCATCCAAACAGAAAGCTTTGTATACACCTTAGGAAATATTAGAAAAGCATTCATCGGGGAAATCAAAGCCTCCTCCAATAGAGTGAAGACTAACAGTTGTTCCTGCCCTGCCCGGCCCTCTGTTTCAGCCATGATGGGCTTTTCTGGGTGAAAAACAGGACAGAAGCATGACTGCCCAACAAATGGTAAAGTTAAAACGGTCAGGTTTTAGACCAGGGGTCTCCAACCTTGGCCACTTTAAGACTTGTAGACTTCAACTCCCAGAATTCTGAGAGCTAAAGTCCACAATGTGTCTTAAAGGGGCCAAGGTTGGAGACCGCTGCTTCAGACTATCCCGATCTGGATCCATCGGTCCCAGCTCTTCAGTTGCGGGCACGAGACTAAATGTCCAATTTTGACTCAGCTCCGAGGTTTCTTGAAGCAGATTGCCGGACCTATTTCAATACAATGGCAGGCCCGGTTCGGGAATAAGTCAGACCTGGTCACTTTCGGGCAGTGTTTCTCACCCTTGACAATTTGAAGACGGGTGGACTTCAACTCCCAGAATTCCCAAGCCAGCAAAGGCCATTTTCAAGCTGCCAAGGCTGAGAAACGCTGCCTTGGGGGATACTCTGCGGTGAGGGGGATGGAATTAGTTCTGCAAATGGATTTGTCTGTTGCCCACAAACAGTCCTTTCCCCCCCCCCCCCAGAAATGTAACTAACTGCTCAGGGTAAAGAATAAGCAGAAATGGATTCAGCAGAAAAGCGAGAGGGGCCCAAGTCTCCCCAGCCATCGTCAAGCCAATGCAGGTTGCAGCAGCTGTTGCCGTTACGGGCTTCTCCAACATTTGCACAGCCAACAGACTTATCAGTCGCAGCGCTGATGTTCAAGCAAGCCGGGATGGGCAACAAGCAGGCAAGGAAAGTCTATGAATCGTTTTTAACAGGGTTAGGGCAACACAGGCAATATTGGTTACAAAAGCATGAATGTACAAAAAAACAACAAAAACACAGCAGAAACGAACCAAAACAGCCACAATTGAGTGAACAATGGCACAGAGTGACAAGGATGACACTGGCTCCCCCGGAATGTCAAGGGAAAGGCGGCAGATAAGTCAGGTCTGGCCGGGGGGTGGGGGTAACCAGTCTCAATTTAGACTCTTCCCATTCCTTTCTACAGAACGGACCGTGCTGATCCAAAAACGGGCCCAAGAGGGGCCTCTCTTTAGCATTTGACATGTTCAGCCGGATGGGCCTTCTCTAGTTGCCTTCTCTCATTCTGCCGTAATAAAAAGGCAGGCGTCCTTTCATGCTCTCTGGCTGAGTCACTGAACCTCCAGTACAAACGTTGGTCGGGTCAAGCTGCTTCTGTCCATAGGAGTCCATTTCTGGTGCCCTGGTCTTAATTGTGGGGCTGGGCTGAGTCACAGTCAAAAGGAGGGACATCTCATGGACATCGCCATAAGGGAGAGGCTGCTCTAAGAGTCAGAACTTCTCCTTGTTCAAACCAGGGGGGAGCATTGCAGAGGCAAGGACAGAGGAGTTCTCCCCCCGCCTCCAATCCCCAAGGAGGCCTCCCTATTCTCCCTGATGAAGGATTCAATTCCTGCCATGACCGGATGGTTCTGCCCGTCCTTCTGAAAGAGCAGCTCAGCCGCATTTTCTGCACCTCTAAGCTGATGTGTCCCATCTGATCAGTTTAGCTGAAAGCCCTGACTGAAACTCTGATGCCACAGACGCTAATATTTATTAGTAAGCCGTTAAGCCGGCTAGGACGCACTGAGTGAACTGGCTTACAGGGCAAATCCACTTTTCCAGCTGACTGGTGGCCACGGGAGTTAAGGGCCGTTTCATTTAAGGCACAAAGTCCCTTCCTGAGGGGGACTAGCTGGAGCTCAACACTTCTGACTCACCCAGCCCAGGTGAAACTGGGCAGGTGTTGAATTATGTCTGCAGCCAGTCATGGATTGGGTAAGACAAGAAACCGGCTCTCATTCTGTCTTCTGAGCTGCACCCAAATCCCAGGTGGATTGCAGACAACGTGGGATCAGTCCTTGAACGGGGTTTCTCTTATTTACAGGAACGTGTGTCTGTCCTGCATTTCTATGGAGGCCCTGGCTGACTTGGGGTTAATCCCTCTCTTAGCGCAATGCACATCATAAAACTTTCATGGGGGAAAATAAGAGGAAGAGTGCTCTGTGCGTCTTGGTGAACCCCATAACAAAATGCGGTAGATAAATCTAATGGTCATTTTTTTAGGGACCAGAACCAGACCCTCACCATCCCAGGCCCTCTCTGCTCATATACAGGACAAACTGAGAAGAGCAGCCCCAGGGACAGCCCTCCCCCCAGGTTCGAGGGCTCCTAATGATCTTCTATAAGTGCATTTCATCTTGGACCCACAAATACTCCTAAGTATTTATGGCCAACTCCCCTCCATGGCTGGTTATCGGGATTTATCTGGCTCCGCTCCCTCTCCCAACTGCGGCAGCTTCACCCCGGAGACTTGCCACAATTCACTTCTCCTCCGGCCCTGCTCGGGGAGGGTCCCCCGAAAGCACCCCCTCCCTGTTTTCTGAGTAAAAGCGGTCACTCATTTGTCGTTGCTTCTAGCATGGGCCACTTGGATTTAAGGAGTTATGGTGCAAGAGAGACCAGGATGTTCCAGAAGAGAAGGCTTCTCAGAAAAAGCAGTTTTATGGGGCGACCATGGACAGAGAAATGAGAAGATAGGCAGATGGTGGCAAAAAGGCCAACGAAACAATGGTGAAGCTTCTCTCACTGGGAAGCGGAGCAGGGGATGCATCCTGGTGAATGGGCCCAGGTCCACCGAAGATCAAAGGTCTAGCTCTCTGGGCCAAATTATCCCCAAAAGGATGAGACGAGATCTGTCGCCCAGATCCTCGTGCAGAATGTTTGCAAGAAGGTTGCTAAATAGGCAGCTATCCTTAGTGGGTGGAGGGCATCGTCTCTGGCTATGACTGAATGCCCAGAATGAATGAGCGACCCAACGGCTGCGATGGAAGACAGCGAAGGGAAGCTGAATTATTGGTCTGCCTCTTGGCTGACAGGAAAGGCGTCCTCCGCATGCTCGGCCTTAAGCCCTGCTTGGCCTACAGAGGCCAGGAAACAGCCTGGTGGTGAGGCTGCTTCCACCCTTCCCAGACAAGGAAAGCCGCGGTCTCCACCTTGAACGCCCCAGATCCAACTGAAGCCCCGCAAAGCGAGCAGGCGGCTGTTAAGAGGAAGCCCCTCCCCGTCTACTCTTTTGAAGCATTTGGGAGGACTGGAGAGCCAACTAACTCCGTGGCGGACTCCTCTGCGTTCCCTGGAAGAGGTGGCGGAGCTTTCCGTGACGGAGGCAGACCCTCGCAAGGCGACCTGGTGGATCAGGGCCCATCCCAACAGGCAGCCACTTCCCATCCGGCTGCACCGGGACAAGCCGCCCACCGGCTGCAGCGCTAAGCTGACCCGTGAGAAGAAAGGGACGGTGCGCAGCGCCCGTGCTGTGACAGCCGGGGATCCTGGGAGTTGACGTCATCCCAAGTGGGGGCGCTCAGGGTGTGGGGCAGAAGTTTGGATTTTGGGAGGGACTCTGGGAAACGCCCTGAGCCTGAGACCGCAGGAAAGCGCGTTAACTAGACCCGCCTATTGTTGAGGTCAGAGGGGAGGTGGTGGCAAAGGGGTGAATGAGTGACAATATTGCCCGTGTTACCCTAGACCCCTCGCCCTCCTGGAAGCCGCCAATTGAGCCCGCCCGCCCGCCAGGAGTCCAGCACCTCCGAGTGCCGACAGTATTGAGAACAGGGACTGTACCATCCGGTGTTGCCTGCTGATGGCTTTTTTTACATTTGACGTAATCGTGGTCAACTGGAGTGGCTGTGTAGGGTGGGGAAGTCAGACCTGGACCGGAGGAAGAGAGCAGGGAAGTCCCGGGGCCTGGCAGAGTTCCTGCAGAAGAACGCGAGTCCTCGTCTGCCATGCAAAGCTTTTCCCTGGGGGAAGAAGAAGATGAGACCGTGAAGAGCGGAAAGGCCCACCGTGGCTCCTGGGGGCGGGGAATGGGGGCAAGCACTCTGCAGAGGTGGGGGGCCTGGCGTAGGACAGCCGTCACAGCTGGACAACGTGACAGAACTCGATGCGAACGCCCGGATTCTCCAGGGCCCAAGGGCAGAGGCCTGGCCTTAATGCGCCTTCTCCCGATTCCATATCCCACAAGGCTGCTCCCCTTCCCTCCTGCTGCCCACAAGTCCCTCTGACCGCCCTGCACCCACTTTCTGGCTGCTGCCAAGGAAATGCGCCCAAGTGTTTATAATCCCCCGTTCCCCCCAAACCCCCACCCCGGGACGGTTAATCCACTCGTCAGTTGCATCCTTCTTCTTCATTTCCCTCCAACAAAGACCAGGAACAGCAGGTTTTCCAAGGATTGGTGCCCTTCTAATTAACACATAGTTTTGGCATTTTTTTGAGGGGGAAAAAGCTCTCGTATTTAGGCCCAGATTCCAGTCACCTAAGAATTAATTGAACGTAATGGTCGTGGTGGTGTTGGAGCTGCACATCCTACATTGCGTAGTGATAGGTGCTTGTGACGTTGCCGATGCCGCTGCAGAAGCTCCCTGATGCAGGAGGTCTACATAGGAGGCGACTGGGGGAAAACGCTACGTTACTTGGAACTCAACCCACTTTTCAGAAACCAAAATGCAGGTAATCCTCAACTTAGGACCACCACTGAGCCCAAAATACCGGTTGCTAAGAAAGACAGTTAAGTGAACTTCGCTCCAGTTTACAGCCTTTCTTGCCATAGTTGTTAAGTGAATCACTGCAGCTGTTAAGTGAATAACATGATTTTAAGGTCTTTTACATTGAGCGGCTGGAGCAGTAAAAGGTTGTGCGGTAGCACACAGTTGTGGGGGTTAACTAGTTGTAGATTGCTGCCTGCTGCCTGAAGTAATCTGTGCTGCGATTGGTTGCCGTGGGCGTGGAGAGGGAGTTTTTTCCTGCCTTGTTCCCTCCCCGCGTGTGCTCTTAATTTACCTCAAGTTGTTCCTGCTATGTTGATTTACTTGACCATTATCTTGTTTGGTGTAAATATATTTATATAACGCTGTAAGTTAATGTCAGCATCTATGGCGAACTTATGGCACGCGTACCAGAGGTGGCACGCAGAGCCCTCTCTGTGCGCATGCCAGCCAGCTGGTCTTCAGGTTTCCAGCATTCCGGCCAGCGTGAAGACCAGCTGGCCGGCACACATATGCACACAGGCCAGCTGGCTTTCGGTTTCCAGCGTTCGCATGCACATACGTTCCAATTTGGGCACCCGGCCGAAAAGGCTTGACATCACCGGTCTATTACTTCATTTGGACACCGGCTACGCAATTCTATGACATGGTGGTTAAGTGAATCTTGCTTCCCCAATGACTTTGCTTGTCAGAATGTTGCCAAGGTGATCATGTGAACCTGAAACACTGAAACCATCATATATACGTGCACCCAGTTGCCAGGCATCCAAATTTTGATCGTATGACTGTGGGGATGCTGCAATAGGTCACTTATTTCAGTGCTGTTATAACTTCAAAATGAGCTATAAGCAATTGTAAGTCGAGGACTACCCGTATTGAAACACTGCAGCCCTAATAAATCATGTTGAAAATTACATCAGTTATTTTTATACTGACTTATTACAATCAGTCTGGTTTATTTTGGTGATATGTCATTTATGTTCTACTAAGTTCCTTTTGGAGCCTTTCCTCTGCAGAGATGCGTTATTCTGCTTTTGTTTTTATGCAAAAGTTATTTTGATATTTTCCAACTCTAAATTCTCAAGGAATGCCACCACCCACTCGAATAAGTGGCCTGGAAAGAATGTAAAGGGACGTTTCTGTCTTCCTATGTGGTTGAGATTGGGCACCCAAACAGGAACCATCCCCGAGATGATTGTCCCGGGAAGCTGATTTGTGCTAAAAGCACAAAACTCTGCCAGCTTCTGCATCACCTAAACCCTGACTTACCCAGCCTGGAAAAGGGGCGCAAGGATGGCAGCTGCTGCTTAGCACCTGTTCGCCCAGCTGGACAGAGCGCAGAGCACAAGGCATTTCTCTAAGACTCCTGAACAGCCCCGGGTGTTACTGGGTGACAACTGGGTGAGAGAGCCAAACCGACTTTCTGCTCAAAATACATCTTAAAACATAAAAAAAGGAATGTTGCATTTGAATTTTTGGGGGGTCTTCGTGGGAACAACATTATTTGCTGTTTGCTTAGCCTCTTAGTGAGAGTCCCCAGCATTCAGAGCAAGCACGTCTTGTTGTCAGTGAGGAATTTTCACGAGGTCCCAATTCTCTCTCTGACCCAGCCTGACTTCAACAGTGATGAGCCACACCCTAGACCCCCCCACCCACACCCCGATTTTTATAGCTGGAGAAGACCGGTCCGCTCTCCCAGCACTGCCCTGCTCCCTCCAGCCTCAAGACTGGGCCCAGAGCTGGGGGTAGGGAATTGGCTGGGCCCTCCACGTTTCCCTCCCACGCTTCCCTGACTCAGGCACGCTGCCGGGATTCTCGTCCTGGGACACTTGGTGTGTGGGGATGACCGTGTCTCTTGCAGAGCTGCCAATGGGGCATCTCTGCAAAGCGAAATCCCGAGAAGCTTTTACTGACACAGAGGATGGCTCTTCTTATGTCGAGCTGGCTGTCCAGAGGCCTGTGAAGATTTCAGCCAAGCTTTCCATTTAGCGTCCGGTATAAAGTATAAACTGGGCAATTCAAAATGTCAGCAGGTCCAAGGGCCGTAATCATACGCCTTTCAAAGGTTTGCTTTTAGCACCACCGCTGCTACCCCGCCCCAGAAAACGGCCCATTTCCCTCCCTCTGGACTGAAGCCGTCAACAAAAGGGACTCACTTTTCAGAGAGCTTGGGGGTATTTTTTTCCTCTCCCCTGGCAAAGGGGCCCTCGGCAGCTTCCTTCATGAAAGTCACCAGCAGCTCAGCATCTGCTCCTGAGTCAGGTTTCCCCACCAGTTTGAGGATCGACGCATGAAGCCGAAAGTAGACCTACCGGAAAGAAACTCACTGTGGCAAAAGTTTCTCCTTTGAACCCAGCCATCTTACAAAACCCAAGCACGAGAGGAGAATGAAAAGCAAGGCAAGGCAGATCCGCCCCTAAAAGGGGTCTGGAGCCAGCCTTTCTGGCAGTGTCCGTCTGGCAGGACCATGCTGGGCCTCTCAGGGCAAGGGAAGCCCTTCAAATCTATGGACAAGGAGGCCTTTCGTGTTCTCACTCCTCTTGTCGTTCTCGCAGAGGCAGTCTAATAACGCCAACGTATAAAAGTCTCAATCAACCAACCTGCCACTGTGCAGAGCTACCCGCCTGCAAGGTGGCCGAGGAGGCCATCAGACTTCAGGTGGACTTTCAATTTCATTCAGAAGCTCAAGACAGCTTCCTTCCTCTTCCTCTGGGTTGGGGAAGGGCTAATCTCAGTGCCTGAGGAGAGCGGGAGGAATCTTCACATGTAGAGGGGAAGGACGATGATATTGAGGGATACAGAAAATCCCATCACTGCAGCGATGAGGGAAGAAATGTATCTCAAGACCACAACAGACAGAAAAGAGGTCCTTTTGCAGATGAGAGGTGCCACCCTGGCCTGTGTTAGGCCTTGCACTGCTCTCCAAACGACGCACACGATGCTTCAGAAAGCCTTCAGAGACCTTCCGAACCCTTCCCGAGCAACGCGACAAGGCTGTGCCTGCTGTTCTTCAAACTGTAGAGGTGAGAGTGGATTTTAGGAAGAGCCCACCTCCTCTGTCGCCTTTTACTATATTCAGTATGAATATAGCATAATATGAATACTATAATATTCAGTAGGAACACAAGATGGAGTAAAATTCTTCAAGGTTCTGGGTTCTATGATCTCCTAGGACTTGAAATGGACACTATCATTAAAAAGGCACAATAAAGGATGTTCTTCCTGGGTTAACTCAGAAAGCTCAGACTTGCCAAGGAGCTGCTCGGTACAGTTCTATGCAGGAATTATTGAGCCTGTCATTTGTGCCTCAGTAACTGGTCTGGTTTGGCACAGCAATCGAACAGGATAAGTACAGACCAACGTTAGGACTGCAGAAAGAGCAACTGCAACCAGCCTGCCTTCCATTGAGGACCTGTATAACGCGAGGGTCAGTAGGTGGGATGAGAAAATATCTACAGACCCTCACAACCTGGACATAAACTGCTTCAATTCCTCCCCTTGGGACGCCACTATAGGGCACTGCATGCTAAAACAGACACAGGGAGTTTTTTCCTTGTGCCATCACTCTGCCGGACACCTAATTCCCACAGCGCTGTCTTATCCATGTTTTATGGTTGTCGCATTATTATCGTCCTTCTCACCTTCTCTACTAGCCTCTTATTGGTGTCATTATTACGAGTATTATTACCCTGTTGTTTTGCGATGCGCTGTACATTTGACAGCTTCTGCACTGGAGACACATTCCTTGTGTGTCTAATCAAACTTGGCCAACGAAGTATCCCATTCCTATCCCATCCTATTCTATTTGGAAAATGGCGTGAGCTTGACCAGCAGCTCTTCTTGCCTAAGGCTGGGCACAATTCATCGGCAACAGGAGGAAGATGGTGAAGGTCAGCTGGGTGCAGCAAAGGCCAGGCAGGGTGTGTGTCCTTTTGCTGGGATGGCTGCTTATGGCATAGGGCCTGAGGTGGCACTCCTCGGTATAGGTACTGGGATGGCTGAAGCTGTGGACCTCCACTTCAGCCCCACAGCTGTGGCCCCCAAGAATCTGGGTTCTCATTTTACCTACCTGGGAAGGATGGAAGGCGGACTCAACCTTGAACCGGTCAGGATCGAACTACTGAACTGCAGGCAGCCGGCAGTCAGTAGAAGTAGCCTGCAGTACTGCATTCTAACCACGGTGCCACCCATGCTCTGTTGCAGAGGATGGCTGAAAAGGCTGAGGGGGAGACAGGGAAGGTAGGGGGTGGGGGGAATTGAACTGCCCCGGGGGTTGTAGTGGGGGTGGCCTGCCGGGCAACCAAGTTTTGATCACATAATCGTGGGGGGCTGCTATAACTTCAGGCCCAAGAGTGAAGTACCATTCAGCACTGCCATAACTTTGAACGACCACTGAACGAATGGTTGTTAAGCGAGAACTCCTTGTATTACATTAGTCAGAGGATTTTGAGAATGGCACCTGTAACTTCTTCCCAAAGTGGCTGTGTCCCACTCAGTTCACACTCTTTGGGTGGGGGTGGACTTGTTGGGGTGCACCTGCCATGAAAACCGGTTGGGTGACTTTGGGCCAATCATTCTGACCCAGCCCAAGTGGGCGGTGGCTGTCATGACCAAAGTAGGAGAAGGGAGGAGCGGGGCACGTCTACTGCACGGAATTACAGATTGAAACATTGGAACCATCCAGCCAAAGGGGCTCAGCGTTAAATGAGAGGAATGGTGCACAGACTTTTCGTGCATATCCCTCGCCCCCAGCGAGGACTAGAAGGGTGGAAGAAGGAACCAGATTGGGGAGATGCACAGGAACGCAGCCTTTCTCAAAATCCCAAATGTTTGTGGTTTTTTTGAAGATGACACAGTCCAGGAGAGATATCAAGCCCCTTGTCTGTAGCCCCCCGGGGGAAGAGAGGCTCAAGCTCGGCCAGCCTCCTCCATCCGGCTGACTTGCAACTTGCAAGGCCAAAGAGGAAGAACGGCTGGAGACTTTCATCTGAGCCACAGGCTGCCTTTATGCGGAGGCAGCTCTGGTCAGCGGCAGGACTGGGGGGGCTCTGGGCCTTGCCTTACCTCCAGGGCCTCCATGGCAAGCTCTGGGGGGTTATGGTAGTGGATCTTCTTGGGGTACCGTGCTGCCTCTTCATGCAGGAAGTGACCCGCCTGCTTGTAGTGAAAGAGGTAGACCCCTGGGGGCTGCTTCTGCTTCTCCGCAATCTTCCCCAGCATGTAGTGGATCAGCCACTCCTCTTCGTCTCCGTCCCCCTCGCAGCGGGAAGCGGACGTGAAGCAATGCTTGGCGGTTTCCAACATGCCGTTGCGCCGCTCTTCCATCTGAAAGAGGAAGCCAGCTCAGCAGTGCATCGTGGGCAGGCTGGGCAGCCCCCCCTTTGTGCGGGGACAGCCGTCCCCACCTGTTGCACCACCTCCAAGGGAAGCTCTGCTTTCCACTGCTTCAGTTGTCGGGAGGCGAAGGAGTGTAGAGTGTAGGAAATGGTGCCATACTCTATCCAGAGCGAGAGGTTGGATCCGTCGATCTCGAGGGCTCGTTTGAAGCAGCTCAGCACGGGGGTGGATTGCTTCCAGATGAGGCCGTCGCTCTTCAGTTCGTTGGAGTTCAACTTATCCTGAATGCGGCTGGCCCGGGCCAGAGCCATGCCCGCCCATGAGTCAAACCTGAAAGAGAACATACACCCACAGTCCCACTCTGCCTCTGCAAGAACCCAGGAGGGCCGACCACTGAGATCCTGCAAGGCACTTGGCTTTTCACCAGTCTGCTCAAGGGAACTGTCAGAGGGCATACAGACTCAGGGACCTTGACCAAAAGAGAGGAGTCCAAGGGCATTTGGGGGTTTATTCCAGCTTCTGATAACACCTAGCAGAAGTAGCTGGTTTTTCAGCTAAGCTTTGTAAATGCAACCATTAGTTGGCTAATTGCCTGACCTTCCATCGCAGAGGATCTCTTCCTTCTCTGTTGACAAGACAACCTGCTATTGCTAGCTTTTAAACTGTTTTTTTCCCTGAATTTCAGGTGGCCCCAGAGCAATCCTAAGAATGTATACAGATGTTCGGATTATGATACAAACTTAATTTGTGTGTGCACCAGTCTATTTTTTAAAACCGTATAAATTTTAGAGGTTAAGTGTGTGTCTGTGTGTGTGTGTGTGTGTGTGTGTCACACAGATTCATGGCAGTTCTCTCTTCAGTTTGGCTAGCAATTGTACTCTGCTACTTTTACTCTTAGCACACCTGGAACTCTCTCTGTACCCCCCATGCTGGTCTGCGATTGTCCTCTAGTGTTGCTACTTCTCTTCTGGTCTTCAGAGCCAAACAATTCTCTTCAGTGGTGCAAACATGGTCCGATTTAACACAGCTTTGCCAGCCCTTCCTTGTCCTTCATTAAAGCCAGCAGCCCATCTTTACTAGCGGTTTGCTGTCCAAATGCTTTTTAGCTGTCATGTCATCCATTCCTAAGCCTCGACTTCCTGAACTTGTACAGGTAGTCCTCGAGTTTGCTCATTCCATTTGTAACCCGAGGATTCAGTAAATTACAGATTAACAGAATTGGAAGGGACCTTGCAGGTCATCAAATCCAACCAATTCGTGGGAGTGAATCTCCTATCTTGAATGAGATCACTCCCTGCTTTCGCCAACACATTCAATAATCAAATGTCTGTTCATTAAGTGCACATGAGGTATTTTAGGATGGGGAAGGCCCGGGGGGGGGCTGGTGAGGGAACAGGCCCCCTGCTTAAGACCACCTAAGGCCGCTCTGACCCACTGAAATACCTCATGCTCCCCACAATTGCTTCCCCTCCCCACAACCTGCCATGCCGGGTCACTTACTGTGCGAAGATCTAGCAAGCTGTCTCCTCTCCAGTCTCTCAGCTGCGCGCAACTCTCCGCAGCTTAATTTTGCTGTGCGCGGGTCTCGTCCGGCACTTTGCCAGCCAAAACATAAAGTGCCAGGTGAAGCCCAAGCAGGCGAAAATGGAGCGTCAGAGAGGCCGGCTTGCCCCTCCAAATCTGCTTTGGCCAGCAAAGTGCAGGACGAATGTTGCAGGGCCTCTGAGGTTGTTCATGGTGCTGCAAGATTCGTAGTTTTCGGGACTTGTTTGTAAACACTAGGGGACTTTATCACGTAACTTCAAACATTCGCTAAGGGAATGCTCGTAACCCGGGGAGTACCTGTATATGAACGTGCTTAAATCAGTGTCTCTAATGCCACACTAATAATATCCGTTTTTCTATGAGAACTAAGTCCTTTGAGAATCTAAACTACAGCCTATTCTAAGCTCTCTATCAGCAAAGGGAATATATATTATTTGGTTTCAGAGTCCAGTCAACCTGAGAAGGTTATTGTAAATGAAAGGAGATCCAACTGAAGTACTAATTTTATAAACAAAAAGCATATTGTGTAGAATCAAAGGGCTGAAAGTGGCAATTTAACTCCCAACCTTCTGCTCAGTCCAGGATCCAAAATAAAGCATCTGGTATCAGCAGCTTTCTAGTTAAAAGCTGCTCTGAGAGCATTTTCGGGCGGCTGAAACAACTTCTCAAGGCTACAGTTTTGGAAATCAGTCCCAAGCCACAGAGTCCTACACAGGTGTTCCTCCTAGCTCACTTTCTTACTATTTCTTTTATGAGCTGAATATCCTCTGTTGGGTCTAAGAATCTTCTGAACCATGAAAACCTTCTACGGTTTCAATGACAAAATACAGCAATGGGGTTGACTTGGGAAGGCTGTAATTCAACACAAGATGTCTATTGTATTAAATAGCGTAACAGATGTAAAAACAACAGAGCAAACCCCCGACCGTGTTTCAACCTGTGCTCACGTCAGGCATTTTCATGCTCCTTTCATTTCAAGGGCAAAACCGATCAAAGAGGAAACAGGAGAGGCCTCTCTCCACGATGGAGGGGGCGGGGAGGCAGCCCTTCTTCCCTGACACGGCATCGACATCACCTGCTTCCCACCGAAGGGGTTTGCCCAGGAGAGAAGCTGCCGCCGCCAGGATCCACAACAGCTGCAGCAGCCACAGAAGCCATTTTCTGGAGGCCCATGGAACGCAGACCATGGGCAGGGCCAAAGGAAGCCAATACAAACACCATCCTGCAACCCGGTAGAGGCTCCCCTCTGAGCAGCCAGTCAGCCTGACCTCTTTGGGCAGATGCAGATGTCGTGCATGTAGAACTTGATGGCCTTGGACTGTTCCTTATTCTTGAAGTGGTAGTCAGCCAGGAGGTAGTATAGCTCGGTCACCACTGGAGGAGAGAAGTCTGCGCCCTCTGGGAGAGCTGGCACCTGGCAACAAAGAGATACACCACATCAGGCACTCTTGTGTTCTGTCCAGGGATCAGGGCAACTTCTGGCTTGGTGGGGAAGGCTGTCTGGACTACCAGGCTGGCCTTCAGGAGACTAGCAAAGGCAAAGATATTCACAAAAGGTATCTGGAGGTCCACAAAAGGCCAAAAGAGAACGTGAACAGGCAACCGTTGTCTAAGTGTGGGCTGACACATCCAGTGTATCAGTGGGCATTTCTGTCTTTATGTGCTTGTACAATCTTCATGAGGTCTTGGCAGTTTACCCCAATAAAATCATACTTAAACCCAAGACAACATTGCATTAATAATCCACTATAGAAAAAAGAACGGCATTTCCAAAACGGTCTCTAGAAAAGCCATTTTAGCTAGTTTCCGGGAGGCTATCAGGTGAGGCATTAACATGACTTCAGCGACTTTTAATCACTTGGTTGAAACTGGTTGCACAGAACAAACAAACAGATGATTAAACAAGAGGGGTAAATTATAAGGAGGCAGGTTTTGAATGGTAAGACACGTTCAGCAATCGAACAGACTTCCTCAGCTGATGGAGGACCCCTTAAACAGAAGTTGAATGCCAGGGATAATGCGACGGTAATTCCTTTCTGGGCACGGGGTTGGATTGAATCAAGATCCCTTCCAATCTTTAGGTCCTATAATTCAATGAAATTGAAATATGCACAAAGAACAGTAACAACAATGATCTGAAGATAAAAAACCAAAGGAAATTCGTTGAGCTGGGTATATTTAGTCTTGAGAAAAGACAGCTGAGATGATATAAACATACTTCAAACACTGTAAATTCCATCTGATAGGAGAAAGTCAGAACACAGGATATGGGATAACAGATAATAGAATTTGGTAAGTGGATTCCAACTGAATCTCAGAAGAAGCTGTAAAATCAGATGGATAATGGGACAATGTTGGCTTTCTTAAAACAGGGACTATGCAGGTTTCTAACAAGGATGGCTAACCAGAGTTGGACCCAACAGAAGAGAATCTCTGGCTCAGGGTTTCATTGGTGCTCTCTGAGCTTCTCTGTTGACTTGCAGACATTTCAATAACCCATAAGCACCAGCAGTGATCACAGTTTAATCTTAATCTTTGTAGCACCTGCTTAAATCCACAAAAAGGAGAGCTGTTTCTATGTGCACCCAAAGCTTTCCTATTTTTCTCATGCAATAGCCTCAGCCAGCTCTCTTCTGAAGTCTGAAAATAAAGCACTTGGGACTCTTATGAAGAATTCCCAGAAGCCAAATAATCCGTACCTTGGTTAAGGTCCCTTCAATGTAACTCGACACTTCTTCCAATCTCAGCATAGGCTTATCTGTTTGAGGGACAATCGTGGCCATCTTCTTCAGAAGGTTGGCTAGGTCAGCAGAGACGGTGCTGGTTTTATAGCTGTCAAACTCAGGAAGGGTCTTGGGCTTAAAATATTCAAACATGAATAGGGCATCTTCCCAGATCAACTCCACCTTGGAAAGAAAGAGATTTTAAATAAGCCTTGAACAAACCAAGACATGAAGTGAGAATTACCCAGGAGGCTCCTCTTCCTTCCACCCCCGTTTCAGCAAAGCCTGGACTAGGATCTGTTGAGAAGAGCCCACTTTGGATTCTTGCACTGAGCGCCAGGTTGAGGTTGGGTTTCATAACCTATAGCAGTGGTCCCCAACCTTTTTTGAGCCAGGGACCAGTTTCACAATTATTTATTCTTCCACGGACCGGTACCTGAGTAACGCGAGACTCTACCGACATCAGGACGGCTCTTCATTTGAAGCCGCCACCCCCCTTCGACGAAACTAAGGCACAAGCACCAAAATGCCGCTTTCCAACTGAAAACCCAGAAGCATTTTCCAACCGAAAGCTGGAAGCAACTGAAAACCCGGAAGCGCCGTCAAAACAAGATGGCGGCGCCCAAGCTTTGCGGCCCGGTAAAAAATGATCCAGGGACCGGTGGTTGGGGACCCCTGACCTATAGGATTTCTTACCTTGTAGGATTCTGAGGAACTGCTGTGCAATAACTTTTCAGAGTCCTGAACAGACAGAGCTGCTCTAAGCTTAATTGCATTGACAATATCATTAGCCTTGTTTTCACTATTTGGATTAAACCTTTTTGATTACATTTTGAGACACAATTTAGGAAAAAAGATGGCCATGAGGCAGGTGTCTTAGAAACCTGTGGCTGACCCCTGTCAGAAACAGGACATAAGCTTTGCCCGTGGTGGCATCATAAATGCTGGAGGGATCTCTGGCCAAGAGGCCTCTCTGCTCCTGAGCACCAGGCAGCCTCACCTGCTGCGTAGAATGCTCTTCCAAGTACCGAGCTTTGCTCTTTTTGCTTGGGAAGCCGTACAGGCAGTAAAAACACTGCTCCAGGGCCGTCTCCAGCTCCTCTTTATAAGGGTGGGTGTCTTCTGTGGTGGAGGCCAAAAGCTCTTTTTGCAGAACCCGCACCTAGAACAGAAACAAACGTTTAGGTTACGAAGGTGCAGTTGAGGGCAAGCAAAGATCTCATTTGGGTGTTCAGGAAGGAGAGCTTTGAACAAATACGTAGCACACACAGCATAGGAACTCAAGTGGCAGATGCACACAATGTCCTAACCCCTCCCGGTGGGAACAGCCAGGTCCTCTTAAAGGGCAGCAGGATCAGGCTCTACGAACCTTGGAGAAGTCCTATTCCAATCGGTAGACAGGGGGACGGAGAAGGCCCATCTTCTGGGTCCTAGAAATGACACGGTTTGGTAGGTGGGATTCAAACCATACCAATCTTCTTGGATCTTGTGGAATGGGAAAAAAGTTGCTTCCACAAGTATCTGCATCCTGAGTTACTCGAGATGATGATCACAAACTATCTGTGGTCTTTCTGTGAGTCCATCTGGGGAAGGGCAGCCGTCCTGCTGACCAGCTGGTTCCCTCAGAGCTGATCTGATCTCAGAGCTGGTGAGGGAACTCATCAGGGAAAGACAGGAAGTTGATGGCCAGGTCCTGGAGCTTCTCCTCATTAATCTCTGGCCCAACAGATGCAGGATGACACATACTACACCTCATGGTTGCCTCTGAGCTACAGTGATCCGAATACAGAAGCATTGCATGTAGACATTGGTTGTAGTTAAATCACGTCTTGATCCAATTGCCACTGATTGTGACCCAAGACCTCCCAAGGGCTGTCAGGCCTGTTCGAAAGGTCTGGCTAGGCTTCCGAGAATGTCCAGAAGCTGGGGCATTGCAGTGAGTGGGTAGCCTGTCCCACCAACTGTCTGGTTACCGGGTGTCAGCAGGAGCTGACACTTCCTGAAGTATTTAACAGACTTAACAGATTAACAGAGTTGGAAGGAACCTTGTAGGTCATCTAGTCCAACCCCCCACCCAAGCAAGAGACCCTACATCATTTCTGACAGATGTCCAATCTCTTTTTGAAAGCCTCCAGTGATGAAGCTCCCACAACTTCCGAAGGCAACTTCTGTTCCATGGGTTGATTGTTCTCACTGTCGGAAAATTTCTCCTTAGTTCCAGGATGAATCAATCTCTCCTGGATCAGTTTCCATCCACTGTTCCTTGTCTGCCCTTCAGGCACCTTGGAAAATAGCCTGACCCCCTTCCTCCTCTCTGGGGCAGCCCCTCAAATACTGGAAGATGCTCTCCTGTCTCCCCTGGTCCTTCTCTTCTCTAGACTAGCCAGGCCCGGTTCCTGCAACCGTTCTTCGTATGTTTTAGCCTCCACTCCTCTAATCATCCTGGTTGCTCTTCTCTGCACTTTTTCTAGACTTTACTTTGGTTTAGGAGAAGCCCAATGCTGAGGTCACAGGAATGGCCTCGAAAGGGAGGAGTAAGGCAAGCAGGACTCGAGCCCAGGCCAAGAGAAACAACTTGAGAATCCCGTCCCCGTTCCTTCCCAAGAAGATAAAGCGGGACGGGAGGCAGGGGACCAAATTCAGACTTGCAAGATTCTATTACTAGACCTGCTCCAATAAAATCAGTCCTGACCTTATGGCACTGGTCTACCTTGTAGAGCTACACTCCAGGCGACAGAGCCTTCATGAAGAAATTCTGAAACGGATTCTGACCAAGCCCTGTTATGAACTCAGGTTAAATATGGCAATTAGGGAGCTGAAGCCAGACCGGTTCCCAGGCACAGCTCCCACAGTTGCCCTGGCTGTTCTGCTCAGCATCTAAGCTGCTCAGGAGGGGATGATCCTAGGCTGTGACTGCCGAGCCACCTTGTCTGGGATTCCTTTCGACTTGCAGGGTCCAGCCAAGTGGGGAGTATTCTTAAACACTGGAACCATCACTGTTTAACCTGTTATACAAGAGGTAATCTGTTGGATCTTACCAGACAGGCGAAGATAACCTGAGACGTACAGCAGAGCAGCAGATTATCCCTCGGGGATAGCCTTAAGCTGAATAAATCTGGTGCATTACAAATGTTATCCTCTTTCACCATGAGTGGAACCATCAGTAAATAGATTAACAGACTTTCATTCTACTGCAGAGGCCTCCAAACTTGGCAACTTTAAGACTTGTGGGCATTCTAGGTATTTTGCAACTGATTTCTTTATATGAGTTTCTTGTAGACATACTATATCAGCATTTTGTTTGATTAGTTTGGCTATTATCCTTTTCCTTTTTATCGTCGAGTTTAAACCATTTATATTAATTGATAATAGTTTCTTTTCTTCTTCCATTTAATTCTGTTTCACTCTTTGTCTTGTAATGGCTCCGGTCTCTCCTTGTGCCTGAAGATGTGTCCTACTTTCTTCTCTCTCCTGTTGTAGATGAGTATTTCTTTGATTTCCTAAAGTTCCATCTCTGTTCTTATGATAGCCTGGATCTTCCTGGGAGTTTGTTTCCACTTCCTCCTTACTGCTCTGATCTTCCGGACCTACCAATAGCTCATAAAATTCCAGGGCCTTTTCCATGGAGTCTATTTTAATTTTCCTTTCGTTCCAAAAAACTAACATCCCCTCTGGGATTAGCCATTTAAATACGATTCTTTTCTGATTTGAGTAACCTGCTAAGAACTTGTAGTCTCGTCTTTGTTCTCTTACTCTTCTTGGTATTTGTTTGAGAATCAAGACTTCTTTACCTTTATACATGATTATTTCATCTCTTGACATCCTATATATGATATCCCGAACACTCCTTCTCGCAAATCATATATGGGCTTCTCTTGGGCATTTGTGGCGTCTCGCATAATTAGTGCTGATCCTGTAAACTTCATCAAACTCCCTTAAGATATCATCTTTATCCTTTTCCAATAGTCCAGCCAGTATTCCCGCCATTAGTTGTTCCAGGTCTTCTTCTTTGGATTCCACTACATTTTGGAATCTCAAGTATGTAGCAGCCTTGTCCATCTCTAGGTAGACCAGTGAGTCCTCCATTTCTTTACTCACATTCTTTAATTCTTCATCTACCCTTTCTAATTTCCTTTCAGTTCGTTCTGTCGTTCTGTATTTATCTCTACCTCTTTTATTGTTGCTTCATTTTTCTCCAAGGCCTGCTGTAATAATCCAACTTTGTCCTCTACTTTGGAGATATCCGCTTTCATTTCTGCTTTTAATTTCCCCATCTCCTCTTTTAGTTCATTAATATCTGCTCTCGTCTCGTTATGGTTTTTCATCATTGTTTCTTGCAGCTTGTCATCGATTCCTGTAAAGTCAGCAAAATTGATTGGATGCTGGCATTCGAGATGTTAGCTTGTTTCTCCACTGGTAATGTTTCTTCTATGGTTTTCTGTGCCATGGGCGAAGCTGTTGCCGACGTAGTTGTTAACGTTGGGGTGACCTTTCTTCCAGTTTTCTGAGCTGTAGTAGTTGTGGAAGTCATTTCTTTTAAGATATGTTTCTGTTGTTGTACTATATTAATTATACTATCCCAAATTAACATTCAGTGATAGAATCTCTGTATTAGGATTGACCGGTATCTAATTACTTAATCTATCTATGTGCTGGATAGCTGTGCTCTTAATTGGTTACTGGAGTATAAGTACTTATATATAAAAATATTATCACTGTATTTTTTTAAATCCAAATTCTAAATCACATATATAATTTTGTAAGGTTTATGCTCAGCCTCTATACATAGCTTCATGTAATACACACACACACACACACACACACACACACACACACAAAATATCCAAATCTAGCTATATTTAAATATTATAAATATGTGTATTTATCTAACTTTATTTTAAATATTCTTAAACACAATCAGTATTACATTCGTCCCCAAGTGGATTAATTGTGATCACACAATAAATTATAATATTAATACATAAAATCCTATACTTATTAATTAAATAATACTTAATGTTCTTACTATTTTCCCTATACATCTAATCAGAGTATAACTATCACTATTATTAATAAATCAATTAATTCAATTATTTAACAATCAGTTACAACAATCAATTTTCCTTTCCCCAGTATGCATATTTATAATCATTATAAAGAAAGAATAAAGAAGGTTTTCTTCAGATGGAACCACCTCCTCAATTAGATCAGTATGCTCCCTAAAGGGCTGTTAAGTGGTTTATATCAGTTATATTGTTATGATAACTTCAGGGTTTCTAAGTATCGCCTGTGGCGCCACACTGTCTCTGTTCCGTCAGTTCTGATCTTCTTCCCGTCTCTGCTTTAATAGTCTTTCAGAATAAAAATCAAATGAGATAGTCCAAATCCCCTACAACTTCCAGGCACCTTCCAGCCGCTGGTCTCCCAACCTCGTAAACTTCCCTTTTTACTCGTTATTGTCCTCTCTCTCTCTTCTGTCTGCCAAACCCTTTCACTTTCACTTGCTTCGCATCCACTTTTTGGCCACTTTCTTTTAGGGCTCCGGACAGACACTTGTAACAGCCTTATAAAAGTCTATGGCATTCCAATCCTCCTCTCCGCTGCTAATTTTCTCTGCCACACTCTTCTCCAATGATCTCACAAACTGTCACTCACTCGCTTCTTTACATCGGTGCCAGTCCGGACTTCGGAACCGCCATTGATAGGGGGCTGTTTCTTGTTCATTGGGCTCTGGAGGGCTCCTCTTTGCTGCAGGGGGGTTGCCTTCCCCACACTGCAACCCGAGTCTCCCCCGTGCTGCCACGAATCTCTCCGGGACTCGTGCACCCTCAAAGGATCGCGCCAACCGCAAAGAGAGATTAACTGAAACCACAGACGTGCTTCTGCACCTCTGTTCGGCCTTGCCTTGCCACCGGAAGTCCTATAATAGAATTCTTGATTGGCCAAGTGTGATTGGACACACAAGGAATTTGTCTTGATGCAAATACTCTCAGTATACATAAAATATACATTCGTCAAGAGTCAAGAATCATAAGGTACAACACTTAAAAATAGTCATAGGGTACAAGAAAATAAAATTTGAGAAATAAAGCAGACAAAAAATGCTGAGAACTTTGGGACTACGCAATGTTAGAATTACTGATTTCAGGACAAAACAGATTTTAGGCAGACCAATGTTCACAAGAAATACGAAAGAAAATGTTGAAGGAAGATGTTCTCCTTAAATGCTACAGGTTTTTCTAAGCAAACAATTATTTTTATAGAAAACCAAGCAATATCATTGAAGGACATACTGGTATTTGCAAGAACTTGGGAAAAAGAGTTGGAATACCCTATAAACCAAAGCGTAGAATCTTAAGGAATGTCATTTCCTATGGTCTCAATATGAGATTAGTTCAACAGAAGAATTAACTTTTATTTATATCGGCCTTTTCTAAAGATATTCAAAAAGGTTGGATGTCAAGCCACCTGTAAATAGTGGGGGGGGGCGGGGAGAGATCAGCTTACATTTTTTGAACAATGCAAGCTGCAGGACAATTACCTATTTATATCAAGGGTGGAGATCAAAAGCGGTCAATACTAAAAGAAATGGACATTTCTACTCACGTAGAATTTAAGCAGGGCTCCATCTGAGTTACAGCACCAGGACCTTCTTCCAAGGTATTCATGGGCCGTGTTCAGCAGCATTAGGGAAGGGGGCAGCATAGGCGTGTCTTGAATTGGAGACACTGAAAATAAGACGAGAAACAAGCAGAACTCTTAAATCAACTTCAGAAGGACGGCTGGCAAACTTCAGAGATAGCAGTTTCTCATTTTAATAGAGTATTTTAGCCATCTGTTTGCTCCAACAAAGTCTTTCAAAGCAAGGAACAAAACAGTCAGCCCAAAGGAATCACTCAGAACAGTCGATCGAATTGCTCGATCACCTCGGCCTCCTCAGCACGCAGCTGCTGCACTTTGCACTAACAGCACCAACTGGGAGGTGATGAGGGCATCAGTAACGGTCAGCAGAGCTCCTGGTTCCAAGAAGGGCCATCCTGAAGCTGGATCAACCCATCCCCAGCCATGGCACCTGCTGACTTTGAAGGCGCTGAGAAACCAGGTTGGGGATCTCCTCCTCAAGGCAGATCCTCAAGGTCAAGAAGGGCAGTCAGGCAATTACACTGTGGTTACCAGTCAAACAGCTTGTCAATCGTGCTAAGGCTCAGCCTCAATTTTGCTATGTTCTATGATACCTTCTGGCTTCCAGGTATCCGATAAGGAATTAGGAGGTCGGCGTGGATTTGTCAAAAACAAAAAAGTTTACCTAATTTGTGATCAGGCAACTTCCTTAATGGATCGTGGCAATACAGTAGATGATTCTGGTTTCCAAAAACTGAATGCTGCAGGCTCCCGCGAGTATCTTTGCTGCAGTATCTTCGGCACTGCGGTACGTTTTGGGAATTGTGGGGCGACATGCAAAATTACTGAGACGCTAAAAGTGCTGAGGTTTGTTTGGGAACCTCGGCTGCAGACCTGATGCACCTTGTCGCTAGAAAGCCATCGGATGAAGTGCCCGATGACACGCTCAGATGAATGCATCTGGGAGCCTCGAAGGCGCTTGTAGACTGACACCTTGCCTCCCCTTTTGGGACCCTTTGAAGGGGACAGGCATCGGGCCAGAGGACTGCAGAAGGACGGGAAGGAGGAAAAACAGGCTCTGAAGAAAAGAAAAGAAAAACACCAGGACTCACCTCCTTCCTGTGGATTCTGCAGCTGCTCCTCCTGTTGGCAGCAAAGGGGCTGGACGCTTTCTTCTTCATGCTGAATGATGCGATGAAGAATAATCCAGGGAAGCACTGAGGATACAAACGGCTCTTTGGGTTCCTCCTGGACTACCATGCTGGAATCGATAATCTAATCGCCAAAGAAAGAGACACAGCAAATTAAAGCCACAAAGGTCATCGAGCAGTCAGTCCTCTGGTTCAGATGTTTGAGATTCAGCCGCAACAAGGGGAGCTTACTAAAGGCACCAGGGCAACACTGAGTTACTTGTCAGAACACTCATCCACCACTCCCCAAAGAAGTATGATCTCGTGTGCTGCCATGGGACAGAAGCTGTAGGAGCTCCAGACAGAAAAAACCTGCAGGAGCTGCTAGTCAGAAAAGCTGCAAACTGGACTGCAGAGTCTGGTACATGTAGCCCTCAGTTAATGACTGCCCTGCTCAGTGACCATTTAAAGGTACAGAGGACACTGAAAAAGTAACTTTAGGACCACTCATCAAACTTACAACTGTGACGGTATCCCCATGGTCACATGATTATGATTTGGGCACAAGTATAGGTGGTACCTGGCTCAACAGTAATTGCGAGAGGGATCTTGGGAGTCCTAGTTGACAATCACTTAAATGTGAGCCAGCAATGTGCTGCAACCGTCAAAAAAGCCAATTAATAGAGGGATAGAATCAAGATCAAATGAAGTATTAGTACCACTTTTACTTGGGAAGACCATACTTGGAATTCGCCATCCAGTTTTGGTCACAACGATATAAAAAAGATGTTGAGACTCTGGAAAGAGTGCAGAGAAGGGCAACAAAGATGATTAGGGGGTTGTAGGCGAAAAACATATGAAGAACGGTTACAGGAATTGGTTATGTCTAGTCTAGGGAAGAGAAAGACTAGGGGTGACAGAATAGCAGTGTTCCAGTATTTCAGGGGCTGCCACAAAGAAGCGGCGGTCAACCTATTCTCCAAAGCACCAGGAGAAGCAGCAATGGATGGAAACCGATCAAGGAGTGAACCAACGTGGAACTAAAAGAGAAATTTCCTCACAGTTAGAACAATAAGTGGAACGACTTGACTCCAGAAATTGTGGATGCTCTAGCTCTTAAGAAGAGACTGGACAGCCGTTTCTCTGAAATGGTCCAGGGTTTCTTGCCTGCGCAGGAGTGGGACCAGACCTCCAAGGTCCCTTCCAACTCTGTTAGTCACACCTAGCGCATAGTCACAAGCATTGCAGCATTGTCGGCCGTTTAGTCGACATTTGTGAGTTTCGCAGCTGACCAAGTCAATGGAGAAACAATGTCTCCTTAACTATCGTTCATCTAACAGCTACAGCAGAACTGACATTGTTAGTCCAGTGCGATGACATGTATTGCTCAAGAATTGTGACAGATTGCCGGGCCAATGGTGGTCATTAAGTGAAGACTACTTGTAAGAAGATGATTGCTGGGCTGCCAGCCAACCAAGTCATGCCCTGAAGAACCTTTTGCAGGGCTCTGGTGGAAGACTTGCCCCTTTACCCAGAAACCTGCCTCTTCTTGCTGTGGTTTTCCCTGCCATCAGTATCTGGAGGTCCAATATGACATGTTACAAATTTTTTTTTATCACAATACATGTCTTATATCTCTGTAAGACTCGTGGTCCTGTGAACCCAAACAAGGATGTTTTTTTCTGTTCCCTCTTTGGCTGGCTGCTGCTCTGAAAGGAGCTCTTGGGGGTGAAAGCTGCAGCAGCAGCAGCTGCGGGGGGTCAAAGGGAGCCCCTCCCCCTTACCTGGATGAGGTTGTGACTCAATCGGATGAGATTCGGCAGGGCAGAAACTTCGCTCAGGCTGCTGCTGCTGCTATCTGCTGAGAGGGAGTGATCGATGCCCTGGAGCAGCTGGGTGACAGTGGCCACCCACTCCTCCTTGGCTGAGGCGGCTGTTGTATTCATCATCTGCTGGAAGGCTTCGTTCAAGGCCACTTCAGAGCATTCCAAGCACTGCTGATAGTCCTTCAGTCGAAGGAGGGAATCCTAGGGGAATATCGGGAAGCGGGTAGAAGATAAAAAAAACCCCACAGGGAAGAGAAGAGAGAGTTGCATCAGACAGAAAAGCGGCTTCCTTCCCACCAGGAGAGCAAGGCCAGAAAGACCATAAACATTCGGCATTTCTTCCATCGATGGTTAAATAAAGAGAAACAGAAGTTAGAACTTTTAAAATTACAAGAGAAAGATTAATTTTATCATGATGGATGGTTACAGTAAGGTATTATTAATTCCAAGGTATTAATATTATGAAGGAAAAGCACTGGTACTCTAAGGCAGGGGTCCCCAACCACCGGTCCCCGGACCGGTATCGATCCGTGGAACAATTCCTACCGGGCCGCCGGTTTGCTGGGCGCCGCCATCTTGTTTTGAGGAAAAAGTGCTTCCGGTGAGCTTTTCCAGGTAGAAAGTGGCGTTTGGGTGCTGAAAGAATCCTCGCGCCTTAGTTTCATCGAAGGGGGGGCAGCTTCGAACAAAACTAAGGCGTGAGGATTCTTTCAGCACGCATGGCAAGGCGAGACGAGCGACCGCCCCGAAGCTGTCGCGAAGCCCATCGACACAGGTACAAAGGGAGGAGTTGAAGGTGGAGGGGAGAAGCGGGGGATGGCTGGATGTCCGGTCGCTCGGCTCGCCTTGCCATGCGTGCTGATGCTGGTACCGGGACGCGGATGATTTTGTGATGCCGGTACCGGGCCGTGGCACAAAAAAGGTTGGGGACCACTGCTCTAAGGTTATTGCTAGAGAATATTATCACTATTATGATGCTGAGTACTGTTCAAAGGAATTGTAATCAGACAACACACTGTCGATATGGATATTGAATATGTTGCTCTATTTATGATAATAAAAATAATAAAAGAAAGAAAGATAATAAACCCTGGATCCTACAGGCATCTGCGTTGCTTCCTGCAGGTTGTACATTATTCATCCCTATCACACTGTTCCTTTTGGGGGTCTGCAGTGTTATGCAAAACATACACACACACACACACTCAGGAACAAGAAACATTAAAAGGTAGAAAATGAAATACAGCACACCTCAATCCTGCTCCTTAAGTACCCCACTGCCCAGAGGTCTCCGCTTTCTCTTCCAGATAAACAAGAGGGCAGCCAAATGCTTCTTCCTTGCAACTGACAACACCAATGCCACCCACACAATGTCTGAACACTGGGGCATGCCTCCTCCCACCGTCACCATCATCCTGTTCACAATGGACATTTATTTCTTTTCTATCAGCAGGGGCAGACAGGCAGACTGGAATCTCCTTCCCAGCAGTCACCCATTTCAGCCATTCTCCGTTTTCAAGTGGGCCAAAAGCTTTCTTGTCTCAGTGCCAACCAGCCTATTCATGTCATGGAAAAGAGAAATCCCCGCCAGACAATTCATTCAGAACGTTGCACGATTTCCCTCCAAATTCACCTCCCAATTTGCCATTACCTCTCATTAAACATAATATGCAACTATCACCAACCTACGCCTTCTTATTTTCACGTGCACCCACAAGAACCTACAGCACACCAATTCATATAGTCTGGCACACAATCCTGGACTTTCTAAAATCTTTTAGTAAAAAAAAAAAAATACAGGTAGAGATTATACAAATGTCAGGTTAGAAAATACTCCATCCTTATTCTCACAGGAAACACTAAAGAAAGTCACACAGAGGTGAAACTCGAAAAATTAGAATATCGTGCAAAAGTTCATTTATTTCAGTAATGCAACTTAACAGGTGAACCTAATATATGAGATAGACTCATTACGTGCAAAGCAAGATAGTTCAAGCCGTGATGTGTCATAATTGAGATGATGATGGCTTACAGCTCATGAAAACCCCAAATCCACAATCTCGGAAAATTAGAATATTGTGAAAAGGTTCAATATTCTAGGCTCAAAGTGTTCCACTCTAATCAGCTAATTAAGCCATAACACCTGCAAAGGGTTCCTGAGCCTTTAATTGGTGTCTCTGTCAGGTTCAGTAGGAATCACAATCATGGGAAAGGAGGGAAAGCCTCAAAAGGTAATTGCAAATGAAGTTGGATGTTCCCAAAGTGCTATATCAAAGCACATTAATAGAAAGTTATGTGGAAAGGAAAAGTGTGGAAGAAAAAGGTGCACAAGCAGCAGGGATGACCGTAGCCTGGAGAGGATTGTCAGGAAAAGGCCATTCAAAAGTGTTGGGGACTTTCACAAGGAGTGGACTGAGGCTGGAGTCTGTGCATCAAGAGCCACCACACACAGACGGATCCTGGACATGGGCTTCAAATGTCGTATTCCTCTTGTCAAGCCACTCCTGAACAACCAACGTCAGAAGTGTCTTACCTGGGCTAAAGAAAAACAGTGGTCTGTTGCTCAGTGGTCCAAAGTCCTCTTTTCTGATGAGAGCAACTTTTACATCTCATTTGGAAATCAAGGACCCAGAGTCTGGAGGAAGAATGGAGAGGCACACACTGCAAGATGCTTGAAGTCCAGTGTGAAGTTTCCACCGTCTGTGTTGATTTGGGGAGCCATGTCATCTGCTGGTGTTGGTCCACTGTGCTTCATTAAGTCCAGGGTCAACGCAGCCGTCTACCAGGAGATTTTGGAGCACTTCATACTTCCTTCCGCAGATGAGCTTTATGGGGATGCTGACTTCATCTTCTAGCAGGACTTGGCACCTGCCCAGACTACCAAAAGCACCAAAACCTGGTTCAATGACTGTGGGATTCCTGTGCTTGATTGGCCAGCAAACTCGCCTGACCTGAACCCCATAGAGAATCTATGGGGCATTACCAAGAGAAAGATGAGAGACATGAGACCGAACAATGCAGAAGAGCTGAAGGCTGCTATTGAAGCATCCTGGTCTTCCATAACACCTCAGCAGTGCCACAGGCTGATAGCTTCCATGCCACTCCGCACTGAGGCAGTAATTGCTGCAAAAGGGGCCCAAACCAAGTACTGAGTACATATGCATGCTTATACTTTTCAGAGGTCCGATATTGTTCTATGTACAATCCTTGTTTTATTGATTGCATGTAATATTCTAATTTTCTGAGATTATGGATTTGGGGTTTTCATGAGCTGTAAGCCATCATCATCATCACAATTATGACAAATCACGGCTTGAACTATCTTGCTTTGCATGTAATGAGTCTATCTCATATATTAGTTTCACCTTTTAAGTTGCATTACTGAAATAAATGAACTTTTGCACGATATTCTAATTTTTCGAGTTTCACCTGTAGTACCAAATCAGATGAAATCTAGTCCTTTACAACTTTATGTTAAAAGAAATGTGAATTTCAAATATGGCAGAAGTTTCCGGATAAAATTGCACTCCATAAACAGATTATTTCAGATTAAAGTATTACACTTTAAATGTAACGAAAGTATTGCACTCTCCAAACTTAATCTGCCAATCCTCTAATGAAGAAACTGAATGTAATTGCCAGAAGCAGGTGTAGAATGTCCCAGCGGTGGTCATTGTGGTATTTTGTAAGAATATACGGCTCGGTGCTTCTTCACAGAAAAACCCTTGACAAGATTGGAAAGTCAGTGCTTAAAATTTAGTTCATCTTATGGTGAACCGTCTTCCAGAACTGCTGAGCTTTTTGAGACTGTCACCAAATATAAAGATATGATCCAACCTGATTATTACATTTCCAGCCATTTTTTTTAATATGAACCATTTGACAGTTGTAACTGGAACAATATACCAATAGTAACAAAAAGTATTATGCTAGTTTGCTGTAAGTGTAATATTCACAGTGAATTTGATTATTTTTCTTCCAAGAATATTTGTTGAATGGACAAAATTTGTCATCCATTTAATCATGCAAGGTTTCACATCTTCGGTTTCTGAATCTTATTTCAATAGTAACTTATATATCAATCCCCAAAGGTGCCCTGAATTTTGTGTCATGAGTCTTTCAAATTTGTTCAAATCTTTCGTGCCACCTCATTTTTGTATTTTTGGTTTAAACTATACTGATCTGAATCCGAGCTACCCATTTCTGACCATTCCATAGAGAATTTGAAGATTTCATCAACATCAATGGCTTTTCTCAGATTCCTACTGGGATCATTTGAAATAAAAAAAATATCCTTGATAACATATTCATTTTTACTACAGATATTCTTCCTTACCAAGAAAGATTTAATTTTTCCACCTTATTAATTTTTCCAGATACATAATTAATTTTGAATAGGTCTTCATTTTTTATATAAAAGGCTTAATACTATTATCAAACTCTGCTATTCGTTGCATTTTTCTCCAGACGGACTGATTTTGGTTAATCCCAAGTACAGACTATTGAGCATTGTATACATTCTTTATCAATTCTGAAGAATCCTTTGGATTAATGATTGTAAGTACTGTACCATCAGTATACAATTTTAAATTATGGGCATTTGCCAGGTGGATTACTCAAATGTTACTCTCCAGCTGTATCTTCTCTGCCAATTATAATCTGATATCCTGGCAGACATTAAATTCACTACACTCTATGAAAGGAGTGAAATAGCATTAATGCTATGAGGCCACTTCATCCTTCTTCGGCAATTCTTCCTCATATCTCACAATGTTGCATCCATTTTATGCTAATTTACATCAGTTCACCTGAAAGGGAACACCCCACCCCACACCCCCCAAAAAAACCCCTCACCTGTAGCAAGAGAAGTTGAGCTGGCCTCTCTGGAATGGAGATAGCCAACTCCAGGTGCTCTGTCCTGCTGTCTCCATTGAGGCACAACGTTGGGCGCAGCAGCTGAACCACAGCCCTGTAGTCCCCAGCCTCATATAAGCGCTGAAGCTCCTCCAAAGACTGGCATCTCTCCAGGGACTTCAGATTCTTATCAATCTGCAAGAATGAAACACTGGATGGGCCACGCTCCAGTCCAAGGTCTACCTGGGGTTACAAAAAAAAACCCTCGCCACAATGACCAAACAAACCATCTGGCCATGATACCGTAAGACGGTGGCTGGCGTCCCACAGCAGGCTGCCTCCCAATCGAACTTTTAGCTGTGTTTATTCTACTATGGAAAGCCAGCCAGAGCATACGGAGAATGCCTCTTTTTCTTACGTTCGATGGGAATACACAGGGAATACACAGTGGAATGATGGCAGACCACTGAGGTCGAAAGGCATTGTAAGAGCAGCGTTTCATTTCATTTTTTGTCATCACTACTGTCATCATTTCTTAAAACCAGAAGCATAAACGGAGTATCTGAATCAAGCATCTCCTCCAACATAGAGACGATGCTTCTAATATCAGATAAGGCCAGGACCCACCAAGCCGCAAAAGGCCGACTCAGGTGCATGAGTGGAGGTTTCAGGTGAGACCCTTAGGGCAAGATAAGCCTCAATGCCTCAGAAAACCCTGGTGTGGAACCAGCTACAAAAGGGAGATGCTAAGCGTGGCTTGGAGCCAACAAGGCGACTCAAAAAGGCAACCCGGTGACGTTACCTCTTCCAAAGAAACCACAGAGTCAACATGGAGGTTGGGCAGCCTGATCACCACTCTCTTGTCGCTGTCAGGGATGGCCTCAAGGGCAGCAGAATGCTGGAGCATCTCCGTGCAGACGTCGTAGTTTTCCAGGGCCTGCTCCATTTCCCCCTGCGGGAGCAACGTAGCTTTCAGCTCCCTCTTCCTCCAGTACCGTCATCAACCCCTCAGGCCAAGTGGGATGTTCACAAAGCCCATAACTCAAGGGCCGCTTCCTGCTTCCATCTTAAGGGATGTTCCCATGACGCACATTTGCCCTGATCAGGCGGAAACGCTGGGTAGTTCCCCCTTTCTAAACCTGTCTTGCGTGGAACATAAAATCAAGCATTGGGCTGCAGCAAAAATACAAACCTGTAGAGCCAGAAACCGAGCTTTCAGCCAATACACCCGGACAGCAAACTGCAACCAACTCGCCTCAAAGAGGTCCCGCTGGGAAGAAGCGAACGAGAGCTGCAGCAGATCACCCAAGAAGTGGGTGCCCGGAAAGTCTGGGCCAAATTTGCCATTGGCCGAGCTGGCAGAGGGACCATTCCTGGGAGATACTGGAAGAAGCATTTCCCCCGTTTAGCCCCTTGACACAGGAACCTGAAGCAGGGGGTGCAAAGGAAGGCCCCCTTCTGCAGGCAGAGACTCCCGGGGAGCTCCTTCCACTGGTCTAGGTGGCCCGTGGCAGCAGTCCCCTTCTCTGCTTCCACCCTTGTGAGCCTGGGGACTCATTCGGGAGAAGCGTGCCAAGTGTCGCCGAGCCAAGTGTCCCTCCAAAGCCAGCCTGGAGACCCAGCCCCCTGGTAAGCAAAGACCCCCCCGCCTCTCAAAGCATCAGCGGGACTTCCAGCGCTCCCTCACTCACCCATGGAGCTCTTCCCTTTGGCCAGCAACCACTGATCCAGCTGCAATTCCATGCAGGAGAGGCTCATCAGCATCATCTCCTGAAATGCAGGCAAAGGTAGGACAGGAAGAAGGGGACACTGGACAATCTGGGTGGCCAGGGTGGATTTTCCCCTATTTCTTTCTCGATAGGCATCCCGTCGTTAAAACCAGCTCTTCTAATCAGCAGGACTAATCCTGCTGCCTGCAAGACCTGCCAAGACCTGGCCTTTCCAGAACAGAAAGTCGCTCAGAAGGTAGAAGGGGCTCCGAAAAGGAACACAGCATCCAGAGGGGGCTTCCGAGCCAATTTTTCAGTTCAGGAGTTTAGACTGTTTGGCCGTCTGCAGAGGCTACTGAAGCCGATTTGTTAACCAAGGTGTGTGATTCTCTTGAGCTGGTGAGACCAATTCCCATGTTCTCCCTGGCAGAGACCACACCCTCCAATGGAACTGTGTTTAGAACAAAACATTTTGGACTTGGACTTTCGATTCTATGACTGTGACTGGCTTCTCCAATCAAATGCTACTGTCCTCCTCAAAGGGAATGGTTGGAACTCAGAGTCCAGGTTCCTTCTGGGGACTGAAAGCCTGAAGAGACAGAGCTTTCTTGGCTGTGGAAACTCATAACTTTTCTAATCTCTCCCACTTCTTCTGCAAACACACAACACTGTGTAGATCAGTTGCGTGCCTCGTTTAAGTGAAGCAGAGGCTGGGCTGCACTTGCTACACAGTGCCTGCTGAGCAGCCGTTCCTTCTCCTTTACTATGGGGGCTCCGACAGGCCAAAGGGAGGCCACTGCAGAGCCTTCTAAACCCTCGGTTACCCTTTGCAGGAAGAAATACAGTAATCCCCAAGTTACAACAGTTCACTTAAGGACCATTCCAAGTTACGACCTACCTCCCCCACCAAGTACTAACAACCCAGTCCCAAAATTACAAATGTTGCTGCCTCTCCATTTGCAAAGCCTTTTGCCATGAGTATCGTGCAGGCCTCGGTTTATAGTGAACAGAAGCTAAATACTGTAGTGCGAGATTATGCAAGATCAGCAGTGTGAGATCTCGCGCTACTAATCTCTTGTGATCTAACCCTACAGTACTTTAGGCCTTTATTCTCTGCGAACCGAGACCTGCACCAGATCTGGCCCAAGAGCTCTTGCAAGAGGCCGAGACTTTGGGGCAGCAACATCGCGTTGCTTGAAGCATCCCATCAACTCGCAAATGCCTTTCCCACCATTCCAGTCTCGGTGTGAAGAGTGCTTGCAAACCAATGGGAGGCTTCAAGCAATGCGATTTTGCTGCCCCAAAGTCCCGGCCTCTTGCAAGCGCTCTTCACACTACAACTGCAAGCAGGCAAAGAAACCGCGGGAGGGACTGGAGACAGATCTTCATAAGTGAGTCAGCGTGGCAGGATGGGGGGGAAGCAATTGTGGGGGGCCCAGTGGAGGGAGCATGAGGTGTTTTGGTGGGTTGGGGGAGGCCTTGGGTGGTCTGAGGCAGGTGGCCTGTTCCAGCGATACCCCCCCCCCCCCGGGCTTTCCCCCCCCCGAGAGGTCTCTCTCGGTTCGCAGAGAATAGAGGCCTAAAGTACTGTAGGGTGAGATCACAAGAGATCAGTAGCACAAGATCTCACACTTCATGACCCACACAATCTTGGGCAAAAGCAGGGACTGGTTGTGGTCAAGTAATGCTCCTGCATTCACTCCTACAAGTCCTCGGGTTACAGATGTAATTGGCAGGCCCCATTCCATCCGTAACTCAAGGACTACCTGCACTCAAAAGAGCAGCGGGGAGGTCATTCGAAGTCGATCCTTACCCTGATGTGTTGATTGTGACAGTCCCTTAATAGTGGGTTGGGTAGGCTGCTGCTGTGCTTTCTCCAGTTGTTGTAGATATTCAGGACAACCTCAGGCAGTCCTGGTGGCCACTTGACCAGGAACTTCTGACTGATGACTTTCAGGTATCTCATCATCAGTTCAAGGATGCCTCCGTTGCTCAAATTAGCCAAGAGGAACTTATGAACATCCTGCTTCTCTGGAAGACAAATTGCCATTGTGGGTGTGAGTCCATCTCAAGCTGATTTTCCAGGAAATGAATGAATCAACAGATTAAAGTGAATGTTTGAGAAAACTAAACAGCATAATAAAAGTGGAGATAAATCTTTATAGGGGTGCCATCTGCAGGAAAAATAAATTCCTACCAGATTCCATGCAGACTGTCAGGTCAAGGGACATCCTATGGGAGCCCAGGGGCTGGGAGTTCTCTTCCTTTGCTGTGCTTTGCATCTCATAGTGGTTGAACGGACCTTCTTCTTCTGGATCCAGCTTCCTCAGGCTGAAAGCACATCAGAAAAGCACTGAAGAAGCAGGCCGGAGAACCTGAGCCGCAGGGCAAAGGGAGCCAGGTGATCAGATCCACTCTTGCATGGCTATGCCTCTCAACCTCAAGCGCCCTTCCACCCCCTCCGGCTTTTTCCTAGAACCCGCACACGTTTAGGAGTGGGGACGCGCACCGAGAAGGAAGGAATTTTACTAGCAGCTCCTGGAAATCGACTTTTTCTTCTTTTTTGCACTTGGTATTCCTGACTCGAGCCGATCTCCTCTTTGCTGTTTCGCCAGTCTCTTCCATGATTTTCTTCCGTTTCAGCCCTTTCTTAGATTTGTCAGCTCCAGAAGCATCACCTGAGAAGAGCCAGAGAGCTTTGGATCAGCAAGCGGCCCCCATCAAGTTATTCTCCCTGACTTTTTAATTGACAAACATCAACACTTCTGGGTCGTCAGGTGTGTCTCTTGTTCCCAAATTCAAGGCTGATCAGAGCGGTGGCCCCGCAAAGACCTTGCGGCCTTCTCTCCAGCTCCATAAGCTCAAGCAAGGGAGGAGGAGGCAGCAGCTGGAGCCACAGAGGACAAGCTGCACCCGCTGCCCAAGGCAGGAGTGCAAACAAAACCTCCTTGGCAAACGGCTCTCTAGCCTCCGTCTGATTGGGCTCTGCGCTTCGCCATCACTCTGCTGGGTTCTTGAGAAAAACTCAATGCACATGGAAGCCAACCCCAAGTGGAAAAGAGCTGGCAGCTGGGATTTTGCACACACTTTGTGTGTGTGTGTGCGTGTGTGTGTAGAGAGAGAGAGAAAGAGAGAGAGACATTTTCAAGAGCTTAGAGAACTTTTATTTTAATCTAGTATAGAATCTTACAGCCTGTCCATCGATCAGCTTGTCTGTTAACGGTCCGGTTTATTTGCAAGCTCTTTCTGCTACTACAACTTACATAAACTTGTTATGAATTGTTGGGGGTTTGTTGCATTTTGTATTTGGGGTTTTACTTCCGTAAGCCACCTGGAGCCACTATGATTGAGCTAGGCAGCCATATAAATTTTCTAAATAAAAATAAACATAAAATAAAATCGTAAAGTAAAAGTAAAATATCATCCACATGGTAGTCAAGACCAGGGCTGGGCTGCTGGGGGTTTGCAGGGGTTCAGGGGAGCCCCTAGTTAAGATTCTGCGCAGTTTGGAGAACCCCCAAATCCCACTCCTGGCTGGCCCCACCCACCCACCTCACCTCACCCCTCCCAGGAGTCCCCACGTTGCCCATTTTGGATGCAGGGCCCACGCGGAGGCTCTGGGAGGGCAAGAAACGGGCCGTCCTGAAGGTCGGGAAGGCCAGAAATTAGCCCGTTTCCGGCTTCCCGAGAGCCTCCGGAGCCTGGGGAGGCTGCTTTCACTCTCCTAGAGGCTCGAGGAAAGCCTCCGGAGTGCGGGGAGGGCAAAAACAGACTCCGCTCCACCGTGGTGAAGGAGGCCACCCTGGCTACGCCCATCCAGCAACCAGGCAGAGAACCTGTTGCTAAAAGTTGTGAAGTCCACCCCTGGTCAAGCCTAAATGGCCAACATTTTCCTTCTAAGTTTATTCAATGAAGGACAGACGATTCAGCGAGAGAAAGGACTTCCCATTTATATGATGTCTCTTGCACAGATCTTGCTCACCTGCAGAGTTTACTGATTCCAGTACAGTCAAACTGGGGAAGGTGGGAGTCAGTGGGGTATACACGAGCAGTGGTTCTGTCAAAGGCATCAGTGGGTTGGAACTGACAGGGCTGGGGTGAAGAACACTGACAGGGGCTGAATTTGCCTGGCTCTCCAGGTGCTGGTCCAGATCTTGGTATTCCAAGAGATCAATTCGCTTGCCCAAGCTTGGACGAGGCGGCTCACAAGTTGTGAGGTGCAAGTAAGTGGCCATCAGACTCTCTCCTAGAGATTTCCACCTGCATGGAAAACAGGGAAATAAAAACACGGACGAAGGTGAATGGACGTGTCCCAGGTTAATGTCGCAGCATCGGATCTGGGTCGGTGTCAGTCGGTGCTCCGTTCAAAATCCAAGAAAGAAATACTTAGACTCCATAAATTAGAGGAAAGAATTCTTTTACTGAAAAATGAAGTGGTAACACCAGTAGGATTCTGAATCTGAGAAATTAGGCGCGCAGATCACATATACAAAGGGATGGAATTGTTCCCACCCCCCCAAAGTTCAAAAGATTCTTCAAATTAAAAGTTCTGAATATGATCATGTGGACATCTTCAGGTGATGATGAGGCCTCTGTCCGTTGACCTTGGCATATTTTGATAAAGGTTTGCAGCTGCGCAGAAAAAGGAAAGTAAGCGAGAAATAGAAACCTAAGAGCAGGAATTTATACTCCCCCCAACTCCTCATTTACACAAGAATGTAACACCTCCAGCTCTCTTCCCAGACAATATCCCCCCTCCTCCCCCCGTTACTTATGGCAGCCAAAAGATGCAAAGCAAGCAGTAGAAGATCTTGAAGGCTGACAGTCGGTCACCACCACCAATCATGAAGCTACGCCATTACTGTCAGTGCACCTTCTCCACACTCAAAAGTGAAATGTATGAACAAAAGAGACATCCCAACATCAGGAGTCATTGCCGAAACAGTCCTGCATGGACTAGAGCAACTGTGCATTTCAGAACTACACACCTAAATTCTGGTGATGCTACGTGGATGACGTGTTTGTCGTCATCAAGAGAAATGCACTTAAAGCCTTTCATACTAAGCTGAACTCCATCTTCCCCAACATGCAGTTCACAAGAAACAGCGAGGCAATTACCATTTTAGTTGTACTTGTCAACAGACAAGAGGACAGAAGGCCTAGAAACCACAGTAAGGCCACAGATTCTGAATTTCAACAGCAACCACCCTCTGTCACACAAAAGGAGTTGCACCAGAACGATGTATGGCAGGGTGAGAACCCACTGTAGTACCCAGCAAACCAAACAGTTGGAGAGCAGGTACCTACTTGAACAATTCAAGCAGAATGGGTACCCACAGTCATTTGTCACAGGGCATCTGCGCAACATGGCGAGAAGAGAAAGGAAGAAACAAACTGTAAGACCATAAGACCAACCACATGGCACACTCTGCCATACCTCAACAACATCGCACACCGCCCAGAGGCTACCGTACGAGGACAAATCATGCACCGTAAAGTTTATTTGGAAGTGGGAGATACTTCCAATGTACCGAAATTACCAAATCCCATGCGTGGATTGGCCTTGTGACTATTCAGGAGAGATGGGGAGGAAGCTAACCACCGGATTGCAAGAACACAAGTGAGGGATGGCCTCACACAGCAATGAACAAGGACACACATTCAATTTTGCAGCTACTAAGATTGTCAGACGATCAGGCACAAAAACAGCCAGGGGAACAGGAACAATAGTTTGGCAGAATCCATTGCTAATTTTATGGCAGCAGCTAAAATCCTGCAGTAGACAAGCACATCTGGCTAAAAGGGCAAATTCTTTTGGTAATCTTAGGATATGCATGCACACCTATTAATATATGTACGTGCAAGGGCACACGGCCATGGGGGGTGGGGGAGGGGTTGTTTGTACTTTCTGTATTGAAAAAGTGCTGTGGAGGAAAGAAGGACTACTATTTGCTGAGGTGCTGAAGTTCAGCTGGGCCTTCAAAATCTCTTATGAGCGAACTCCCTCTCCATCTGCTAGGACAGGGGTGTCAAAATCAAGGCCCGGGCACCGGATCCGGCCCACGGGATGCTTAGATCTGGACCACCCTGGAAACAGTGAAGGACCTGCCCACAGTTCCATTTTTGCTGGCAGAGGGTTGCAGGAGGCCACTGCAGCCAAAAACGGAGCTCAGAAGCCCATTTTCACTGGCAGAACGCTTGGCCTACCACATGCACCCCCAACACGAGTGACATTGAGCTGGCCATGCCCACCTTGGCCACACCCACTCTGCCCCCCCACCTCCAAGATCAAACACAACCTTGACGCAGCCCTCGATGAAACCGAGTTTGACACCCCTGTGCTAGGATGACTACCCAGGAAGGTTGAGAAGACTAATGACTTCTATACCATCAACCACTCCAGAACTTTCCCATCCTGATGGAGAAGTCTTGATCCTGAATCCTTGGAGGTTCTGACAATATCCCAAGAAAGATTGGGAAGGAGCCAGGCAAGAGTGAGGAGATCCCTGCCTATGTGCCAGGGTGGGAGACATGATCTTCACAACCACCTTTTAGGAGACTCCAGAGGAAAAGGGGGCATGGCTCACCCAGAAAGCATTAATTTGCAAGAACTGATGGGGAAAGTGAGAGGAGGAAATGGCATTCAACCTGGCTTTTTAATCAAAATTGTGTACCTCTGTAATAAGCTGATAATAATGAGCAGAAACATACGTGAACAGAGAGATCGGCTGGGCAAGCTTGAGATCTGGCTCAGTCTTCCGTGCCATCAAAGCCTGCCTTTTCCTGCGCAGCTCCAGGGCTTCCTCCAGAATCGTTTGTGTTTCTGACGCACTCACAGGCACATCACACACTGGCAGGTCACTGAAAAAGAATCAGATTTCGACATGTAAATTATTTATTATTGGCCAGAAGGGCCCAACAGAGGCTCCATTTCTTAGGGTCTTGCGAAAGAATAAAGTGGAACAACGACTGATGGCCTCCTTTTACCGGTCCGGCCGCGGACAGAAAGGCACTACAGAGGGTGGTGAGCCCAGCACAGAACATCATGGGCTGTTCCCTGATACCGCTAGATGACCTCGCTAGGGCTCGTTGCCTTAGAAGAGTCCTCAGGGACAACTCCCACCCCGGTCAGCACTTCCATCGGACAGGAGACAGAGAAACAGAGCCAGCCAAACCAACAGGCTGAAGAACAGTTTCTACCCGTGGGCTGTCAGACTCCTGAACGGAAAATAACTTCATGTCAAGATAGTATGATAGACTTGCGGCGCTGGCGCATTGTGCAATAAGGTCACCTAGTGTAATAAGATTAGGACTAGGTTAGGGACTTCTGTCCTAGCTGTGAGTTGTGTTGGGTGTGTGTGTGTGTGTGTGTGTGCACGAAGGGAGGCTCAGCCAATCTCATTGTACACATGTTGTACTCTGACAATAAAGGTAATAATAATTTAGTTTTGCTGCTGTCCGAGCACCAACCAATCCCATTGGTGTTAGTTTAGGTGTCTGAATAGGAGGATCAGTCTTAGGCAACAATTTACAAACCATCATGGTAGTCACAATCTCGATCTGACACCAGTACTGAGCAGTGGCCAAAATCTGTTGCTTGTATCCTTACCAATCTCTTGCCCTTGTCCTGAAGGAGCAGCGTCCTTCACTGCTGCTACACTTCACAAAAGCTAAACTTAAAAGGTTCGGTGTTGGGTGCTCCGACATTGGAGGCTTTTAAGAAGAGATTGGACAGCCACTTGTCTGGGATGGTACTATAGGGTGTCCTGACTGAGCAGGGTTTGGACTAGATCAGGGGTCGCCAACCTTTTGGACCTCAGGGACCACCAAAATCATAATTTTAAATCCCGTGGACCACTAATATGAATCCAGCATGCCGCTCGCTGAAGCGCCTGGACTCCCACGATGGGATGGGGTCCTTCAGGCACTTAGCTTGGCTGCCTGTTTCTGCAACCTTAAATACTCATGAGTCATTTGGACTCGTTTCCCACAGAAAACAAAACACTGAGATCTCTCGCCTCTTTTTCTCTCATCTCTCTCTTTCCCTCCCCCCTCTCTTTCTCCCTTTTTCTCTTTCTCTCTCTCTTACCCTCCCTCTCCCTTTCTTCCTCTTTCTTTCTCTTTCCCTCTCCCCTTCTCCCTTTCTCTCTCTCTTACCCTCCCATCCTCCTGTCCCTTTCTCCCTCTTCCTCCCTCTTTCCCTCCCTTTCTCTTTCTGCCTTTCCTCCTTTCTTTCCCTTCCTCCCTTTCTTTCTCTTTCTCCCTTTCTCCCTCTTTCTCTTTCCTTCCCTCTTTCTCTCTTCTCCCCCACCCCCGTCCCCAGGGGTGGGGATAGGGGGAAATAAACTTTTTTTTTTATAAAGTTTTATTAACTTTCAAAGAGAATACACAAACAAAACATAAGACATAAGAACATAAAACATCTTTTCTAACAGCTACTTAATAAAACAAATAAGACATCTCATTTAAGTACAATATAGTTCTAAATTATCACATTTCCACACACAACTTAATATGCATCTATGCATCCAACATTACTCCTCAATAAACAAATGTAGACTAACAAACACATAACATAAAAAATATAAAACTTCTTTTTAGAAAGCGGCTTAACCCCGGGTTATAACTTTTGGTACAGACGTAAGGGGGAAATAAACTCTTGAACTGGTGCTGGGTGGTGAGAATCCGATGTCCGGAGGCCGACGAGCCACGTGCTGAAGACCAGATGGCTGGTGGGGAGGTGGGGCAACAGTGGCGATACGGGCAGCGGATGGACTCAAAAGCGTAGGAGATCGCGGCATCGGAGCCCTTCCTGGGTGTACACTGGCCTGCGAGGGGGTGGGGGGAAAGGAACCTCGGTACCGGTGTTACCTTCTGCCTCCGCGTATCAAGGAGGTCGAGCGGCTGCCAGCGATGCTCTCAGGTGAAGATGTTATGAGGGGGAGGCTCAACTCCCTCCCCTCAGGAGCTTCCTTCCTCCTCGCCAGAAGCACTCGCACGCAAAGCGCTCACCGCCCCTCTGGCACCACCAAGCCGCCTCCTTCCCGCTGGGCGTGTGAGCGCTTCTGGTGAGGAGGGAGAGGGGGATCGAGCCCCCCCTTGCAACGTCATCACCTGAGGGCATCGCTGGCAGCCGCTTCCTGGGGCTCAGGAGGCTGCAGCCCACCCAAATTTTCTCATAGACCACCAGTGGGCCGTGGCCCACCGGTTGGCGACCACTGGACTAGAAGATCTCCATGGTTCCTTCCAACTCTGTCATTCTGTTATTCTACAGATTGAAACAAACCCCGCCCAACACTCCTGCGGTCCAGGGAAAGGAGGCAACCAGGAAAAAGGATTTAAATACGCCCTGTTCACATTCGTAACTACGTGTCTTTGGTGTGAGAATGGAAGTCACAGCACAAGTTGGAGGTTGGAGATTTGCATTTAGTTTGCTGCCTACTTAGCCATAAATTAGGCTTGTGAAAACACCTCTTAACACCCCAGTCTATTGCTCTGACTAACAGAAAGAAAGAAAAAAGTCAACCTTCCACTTCACAAGTTCTTCAGGGAGAAGATAATTTATTCCTTTCCAGTTGAAATTTGTATAAGACCCAAACAAAACCCTGCAGACGGTCAATTTAGGGGGGCCTTAGATGACTGGTTGACTTTAATTTTATTGTATTAATGGAATCATTATCTTGAAATAAAATACAGCACGAAACAGAGATGAATGAATTAGATGAGGCACATGTGAATGAATTAGGGATGCAGAATTAAATAAAAAATATAAATGGTTTCTGAATCAATAAAAGTTGCTTTATTTACCTACCAAATATTTTCCCTAATGTCAAATTTCTGAATTCAGAGAGGGTAAACATTGCAATCTTGAGCGCAAATTTAACCCTCCATAGGACATAACACACCAGACACCAATCTGCAAGGTTATAGAAAGCTGTTCTAAATACTCCCTCAACCCGGTGAGCCACGCTGTTTGCCAATCTCACAACGGTAAGTTGTGACGACTTCCAGAGTAACCCCAAACGTGAAAAGAAGAAAGTCATTTACCCTTTCAGAAACATCCTTAAGGAATCCCTTCTGAGGCACGGCTGTTCCTCAAAGATCTTCTCCTTAATAACAAGTCCTTTGCTGTAACAGTTGTCTCTTTCCAGGGCTTTGCAGATAAAATACAAGCACGCTGAGGGCATCAACAAAGAAGGAAGATATGTGTTAATGCTTTCCTGGGTCCTTTGTGCTAGTGCTTTACAGAAGTTACAAAATAAGTTTTATCTATATGGTTGAGACCCATGCATGGTAACCATCCTGATCCTTGACTTAAAACCACAATTGAGATCGGAACTTGCAGTACTAAGCAATGCTTTCTTTAAGTGAGTCACGCCCAATTTTAAAAAGTTTCCCCCCTGTAATTATTAAGTAAATCTGGCTCCCCGGCCCTTGACTTGGCTTGTCGGAAGCCCCTTGAGAAGGTCACAAATACAATCACATGATCCTGGGACATGGCAGCTGTCATAAATACATGACGGTTGCCAAGCACCTGCATTCTGATCATGGATCACAGTTTTAAGTCGCGTTTTTCAACACTTGCAAATTTAAACAAGATGTTTACTGTGATTGTCTCGATTGCCTTGAGATTGAAGAGGCAACAGCAGAATAAATAAAGAACAGAATCATCTTCTGTATGAGCGTCACCAGACAGGGAGAGGAAGTTTGCCATCCACCTGTCCTTTTCTAACTGTGGAATTAAGGTATAAACAAACTTAAAAACAAAACACCCTAGGCGTATATTGAGCATGTTTCATAATTTGGAGGCATGCATAACTGCTACGTTACTGGTGCTCATCAACCCTCCAACCTGCAGTTTCCAAGACTGCTTGCCTCCGACACCGCAGGGAATTCTAAATTAAGAAAAGCGGGAAGGACCTACTCGTGTAGTCGCTGAGGGTGTAGAGGAGGGTGATGAGGTTATCTAGACAAGGCCAATGGTCAGGATTACAGGCAAGCCCTTCTTCAAAAGCATGTCGTGCCAGGGGCAGGCGGGTGAGCCGGAGGGCCACGTGGCCAATTTTATACCAGAGGTTGACGTCTGTGGAGTCAAGCAGCACAGCCTGGGAAAGACAGCAGACCGCAGGATTTGCAGGTAAACTGGACCGTCAGAAGCTGGAGGCTACCTACTCTAACCTTCCCAGAAGAAATCTGAAAACTGACCCTCCGCCCTCTCCAGGGGTTCGGCACCCGTCCCCGACACCAGGACGCAAAGCCACATTTCAAAGTGCAGAATCTCAGGAAAAATTCTCAGATGATTTTAGTGTTTGCTAAATGCTAACATTTAGAAGATTACTTTCAGATGGTATTTTTTTTTGAGGTATTTACTGAACAATTATTCATTTGCATCCACATTTAGCTACCTTAGCCAGGGGGCTACATTGTGAGTACAAATTAGGTGTTTGGCTGCCAACAATGGCTGTCCATTCAGTTTATGCTCATGCACTTTCCAAAGCGCTCCAGAAGGGGTAAACTAGCTCCACGCTCAGAAAAGTTCAAAGGCATTCTGGAGCTCCATCGGGGCTTCTCCCTCCACCACAGTCGCCTTGTGCTCAGCCTTGCATTGGGGAAGGTCCAGATCTGGCTGGATCCACACACCGTATGAAATGCCACTATTTTCCCACGGAAGTGGTACCTGCTCATCTATTTGCATGTAGCATGCTTTCGAACTGCTAGGTGGGCAGAAGCTGAGGAAGTGACGGGAGCTCACCCCAACACATAGTGCTAGGAGTTGAACCTCTCCTAGCAAAGACCATCTCTAGGTTCTTTAAGCTACTGAACCACCTCGCTTGTCTTGCTCAACAATAACAAAAATAAACGACATATGAAACAAGAAATACCTTGGTACAAGGACAGAAAAGACTTCCATGTTTAAAAGGAATGTTAGCAGAACACCTACGCTTGAGACAAACACTGTTGGCAAAAATGGGGGGAAAAACCGGGGGGAGGCAACTACAACAGGTCTTACACAAAGGAAAGGGGCAATGAAGCCGCTACAGCAGCTGAGACAGGTGAGACCTCCCCCACTCCCCCCCGTCATTTTTTGCTTCAGGATCAGCCCACGTGGAACAGAGGGGAGAGGGACCACGGCCTACCTCCAGGTAGAACTCCATAGCTGTCTCGATGTCGTCTCGCTGGGCAGCCAGCTGCGCCAAGTTCTTGTAAGTTGAATACTTCAGCATCAAGCCCGGATGCTTCAACCCCTCCCTCTCATCTCCAGATGCAACTGCCTGAAAATCGGAAGAAAGGGGAAGAAAATGCTTTGCTGTAATGGTGATTCTAAAGATCGCCAAATGACCTTTCATGGCTGCTCCCTTGGATCTAAGGTATAAAACAAGCCCTGCTATCCACAGCTGCCATGACTAAAGCCAGGAGGACTTGCCTTTCAAAGCCCCAAAGCGTGTGTGTGTGTGTGTGTGTGTGTGTGTGTGTGTGTATGGTACTCAGCTTTGTTCAGGTATTTTTCCGCGTCTTTAAAATTGTGCTTTTAAAGTTGTAGTGACGTTTCGGCAGAATCTCATCTGCCATCATCAGGCTCATGTATTGGGTTTGCCAATACCTCAGCCACACACGTTCTTACGAAAAAGGCCAGCCAATCTGCAAACATCAACTCCATCAACCAATCAAGAAATGACAACACAGCCAACCTCCCCACCAGTATTTATAGGGAGACGGCAGCTCCGATCATGCCTTGCTCACACAAGCACGAAGCTGAAAGTACGCGCATATGTATGTACGTGTGTGTGTGTGTATATACAAAGAAGCCTGATGATAACAGATGACATTCTGCTGAAACGTTGCTACAACTTTAAAAGCACAACTACAATGACGTGGGAAAATACCCGAACAAAGCTGAATGCCATATATGTAAGTACCCGCGAAAACTTAAGAATACACACACACACACACACACTTGTTTTCTTAAGTTTTCGCGGGTACTACAGAAGCCTGATGATGGCAGATGAGATTCTGCCAAAATGTTGCTACAACTTTAAAAGCACAACTATAATGACGTGGGAAAATACCTGAACAAAGCTGAATGCCATACATGTAAGTACCCGCGAAAACTTAAGAAAACATACACACACACACACATCCCTCCCTCCCTCGTTAAAAAAAAAATCAATTGTTATGTATTTGGTTTTTTTGGAAATTTGCTTATCAAAAATCCCTAGTAGGAAGGACTCTGGTTTGTATTCGATCTGCTCTTTGGTGATTTCTTCCAACCAAGTTTTGATTTTCTTCCAATACTTTTGGGTTTCTGCACAAGACCACCACATATGGAAAAAGGTTCCTTCTTTTTTCCTACACTTCCAGCAAGAACACCAGACTTTTTTTTTCCACAACTCTGCCCAGAGCAGAGTTTAACAGCGGCCAGATTAGCCTTCGCTCAACATTGGAAACAACATCAAATTCCATCAGAAGAAATGATTATTGAAAAAATCTCAAAATGCGCAGAAATGGATAAATTGACTTTGGCGCTAAAAAATAAAGACACTTCACTATACTATGATAGCTGGAATTGTTGGTATAATTGGATTGACCAAAGATAAATAATATATTATAAGGCATAAAAGAAAAGTATCAATACATAATAACGAGGTAACGATATAAGTTAAAAACAGGTGTGGTTATATGACACAAGTTAAGGTGATGAAAACAAAAGAAGATCTTGCAAACTGTTAAAATAAGAATACTTTTAATCCTGTAACCTCTTTCTTTCTTTCTTTTCTTAAAATTCTTTCCCTCTCTTCCTCTTCTCTCTTCTTTCTTTTCTTTCTTTCTTTCTTTTGCTTATTTGTGTATGTATTGTGACTGGTTTTAATTGTAAAAACTAATAAACTATATTTAAAAAAAAAAAAAAATCAATAGCAAATTCAAGATTGGCCTAGAAAGAAAAAATACTCTCAAAGACAACTCTCTCTGATCTTCCCATGTAGGAACCCCTGGTTTTAGCCTGAAGATGCATCCAGAAGTAAGCCCTCCCCTCCTGCCACATAAGTGTTCATAGGAGTGAAGAATCAGAAGGGGGTGGGGGGTGTCCAGGGATAAAAAGGAACTCTGCAGAGGCCCTTCTAGAACCATCCGGGCAGGTGAGGCTGGCAGCGGAGGGAGATGATCCCAGGTCCTTGCAGGAATGGGCTGTGCTGGGGAAGGACACCTCCAGGCCCCTTCAACTCATCCTCCCCCTGTTTCTATCCACAGCCACCCTGTCCCCTGGGAAGCCCGTGCCTTTAATAGTGGTTCTGATGTACAGATTGGTTTCCACCTATCCCTTCCGTAAATGTCTTTTAATAAGGCTGATCAGCTTGTGGCTATAAAGAGATTCTTCAGATTGCAACCCACTAAGACAGGGGTCCCCAACCCTCAGGCTAAGGCCCACTAGCGGACCTACAGCCTGTTCAGAACCAGGCCCACGAGCAGCAGGCGAGCACGTGCGCCCAGCTCCACCCACAGGAGGGGCGGGCCCTTGCAGCTCCGTTCGTGTGAGCAGCAGCTGGGCGTGCCCGCCACTCACACAGAACCACCCCCACCCCCCGGCTAGGTTGCTAAGTCAGAAAGATTTGGAGACCCTCTGCCCTGAGAGACCTTCCATGGCAGCCGAGCCAAAGATGCCACCTCGCAATTAGACCATGAAGCTCCCCCCCCACCCCCCCTTGACATCAAGCAGAAGAGGGACGTCCCTTCCTCACTGACTTCACGCAACAGGCGGGTCTCCAGCAGTTCGTGGTAGGCTTTGGCCGATTCATCAAAGAGGTCATGCTTCTGAAGGTCCAGTGCTTGATGATAGAGGGCAAAGGCTTCTGCTTCCTAGAGAGCCAGAGACACAGAGGGGGTTGCGCTTGATTAAACAGCCCACTCCAAAAGAGGAGCAAGGCTCCTGCCACTCTGAAATCTTAAGGAGACGTTAATTTTACCACATGCTTTACCACAGGGGTCCCCAACCACCGGTCCGTGGACCGGTACCAGTCCGTGGAACATTTCCTACCGGGCCGTTTGCTGGGCGCCACCATCTTCTTTGACGAGAAAGTGCTTCCGGGTGAGCTTTTCCGGTTGGAAAGCGGCGTTTGGGTGCTGAAAGAATCCTCGCGCCTTAGTTTCATCGAAGGGGGGGGCTTCGAACGAAACTAAGGCGCGAGGATTCTTTCAGCACCCAAGGCAAGGCGAGCCGAGCGACCGTCCCGAAGCCGTCCCGGAGCGAAGCCCATCGACAAAGGTACAAAGGAGGAGTTGAAGGTGGCGGGGAGAAGCAGGGGACGGCTGGCTGGCCGGTCACTCGGCTCGCCTTGTCTTGTCACGCGATCATTTTGTGATGCCGGTACCAGGCCGTGGCACAAAAAAGACTGGGGGCCACTGCTTTATCAGATGCACACAGGCTCAGAACAAAGACAAGCTTTTTGCAGCAGTGAAAGGCAATAGGGCTCTTTGGAGTGGAATTCTTTCAGCAGGCTTCAGCTCTGCTTCAGAGAAGGTGCCTGGGGGGGCTGGGTTGCTTCTTCTGAATTTTCTTCCAGACCTCCCCCATGTTTAGCAAGACAGCAACACAAAACTCCCCCCACCCCCCAAATCACACCATAAAGATAACTTCTAAGTTTTTCTTCCCTTCAAATGCAGCTGAGAAAGTATCAAGGTTTTTCTTATTGGTTGGCACGTTCATCAGAGCATGGTACTCTGTATATTCCCTTTTGCCATTGTCTTTCTGAAAATGATAAGCGAAAACCGGGCTGACCTTGATGAATATAAATCACCGAGACCTGATGGATTACATCCCAGGGTTCTGAAGCAGCTGGCAGAAGTTATCTCAAAACTTATTGTATCATATCTTTAAAAAAATCTTGCAGCACTAAGGAACTACCAGAGGACTGGAAAAGAGCTGATGTGGTTCCCAGCTTCAAAAAAAGGAAAAAGAATCAGACCCAGGAAATTACAACGCAATTACCTTAACATAACCTGGGAAGATACTGGAAAAAAATAATAAAAAATCAGATCTATGAACAAATAAAGTTATAACTAGTAGCCAGCATGGGTTTGTTAAAACCAGATCATGCCAAACCAATCTTATTTCATTCTTTGACAAAGTGACTAAATTAGTAGAGCAGTGAAATGCTGTGGACATAGTATATTTAGACTTCAGTAAGGCACTTGACAAAGTATACCACAATCTACTTCTAGGTAAGCTAGAAAAATGTGGGATAGGTAGCATCCGTCACCACCAGATGGATTTGTAACTGGCTGACAAACCAAACTCAACGAGTAGTCCTTAATGGTACTATATCTACTTGGAGGCTCAGACTTAGGCCCAGTAGTCTTCAATATCTTCATAAATGACTTAGATGAGGGAGTAGAAGGAGAACTCATTAAATATGTAGATGACACTAAGATGGCAGGAGTAGCCAACATTCCAGAAGACAAACTCAGGATCCAAAAAGATCCTTCTATAGAGAAGGAGGTTTTTCTGTGGACCGGAGGGGAGTGATTTCACTCCCATGTGTGCACAGATGGGTTTCACTCATTTGCGCAGCCCGCAAGCCAGTGCCAGTCCTTAGCCTGGGGGCTTAGGGACCCCCGTCTTAGACAGTAAACCAGAATACAGGCATGCTTAAAAGTTTGCAGAGATCCTTTTGAATTTCATTTTTTTCTGCTTAAATATGACCTAACCATGTTCTGTTCTCCATACTTAAACCTGATAAAGAGAATCCAATTAAATAAATGAGATAAAAGCATTTCACTTGTTCATTTATTAAAATATATTTTAGCCTACTTGCTTAATTGGTTCTCTTTATGTAGATTTAGGATCACATTTTAAGTTATATTTATGCAGATTGGTTTTTGAATGCAAAAATTCAAAAACTTTCACAAACTTTCAAGCACTATTGTACAGATTAGTCCTTCTCAGGTATAATGAGGAACCGGGATAGAGTTCAAAAGTACTACTAATTTATTTTACGCTACCTATACACAAGAATCTAAACTACTAATGGTCAAGGCAATTTGGAGAGGTCTCTTACATGGGCGGAGAGACTCCAGAGGATGAGTTTGACACCTCAATACAAGGTAACGGCTGTTTATCAGGCTAACGGGCAAGAAGAGCTCAGCAGACGTTTGGAGCATTTAGGCAGCCTTGCTCCCTTGAGCCCTCACATGCCACCCAGCAAGGGCTTCAGGGCCTGCTAGAAAGTGAAAGGATTAGAGCTTACACAGAGTGTACCTAACTCAACTTTGATTTCCTGCTGAGCTGAGCTCCATTGTAACCTAAAGTGCCAACTGTAAAGATAAAGCCTCTAGGATAATTGCCGGATGGTCTCGCTTGTAACTTAAAATGCAACCTAATGTGAGATAGCACCCCCTAACAAAGCTCTGAGCTATAGGCCAGAAAATGTATTTCTTTCCCACTAAGGTCCTTTGTTTGCAGAGTGCTGAGAAAATCATGAGGTTTGCATGGACTAGTGCAGGGGTCCTCAAACTTGGCAACTTTAAAACTTGTGGACTTCAACTCCCAGAATTCTCCAGCCAGCTATGCTTAGTATCACCATATTAACAATCTTATCCAGCAGCGGCCCCCAACCTTCTGGGCACCAGGGATTGGTTGCAGTGGGAGAGAGCTATGCTGGCTGGAGAATTCTGGGAGTTGAAGTCCACAAATCTTAAAGTTGCCAAGTTTGGAGACCTCTCCACTAATGGATATGAAATTATGTTTCTAACACTATGATGATCTATGCAAGCAATATGCCTAGACCCTAAAACGAAAAAAAGTTTTAGTTTTAGTGCACGCACCTGCTTTTCGCCTTGCTGTTTAAGGTGGGAGACTAAAAGGTCACCCAGTTTTGCTTTCTGATCAAAAATAAAAGTTGATTATCAGTTCTGAGCTGCATTCAAAAACCTTGCTTAAGAATCCACCACCCCAAGGGCCTTCAAACTTGGCAAGTTTAAGACTTGTGGACTTCAATTCCCAGGATTCCTGAGCTAACGTGACTGGAGGAGGAATTCTGGGAGCTGAAGTCCACAAGTCTTAAAGCTGTCAAGTTTGAAGACCCCTGTTTAGACTTCTGACAACAGCCAACCAAACATGGCAGCATTAAGACCTGTGGACTTCAATTCCCAGGATTCCTGAGCTAACATGACTGGAGAAGGAATTCTGGGAGTTGAAGTCCACAAGTCTTAAAGCTGTCCAGTTGGAAGGCCCCTGCGCGACCATAAAGACGCCTCTGACCCCGGCTGGCTGTTCTCCGCCGGAGACTCTCACGACCAGGACGGAGACCGGGGGAGCCGCGCGAGCCACAGGGGCTCCCGGCCGGGGCCAGGCCGCGAGGGGGGAGGCCCGCCGGGCGAGTCACCTGCGCCTCCTTGGTCTGCGACTTGTGGCTCTTGAGGGTCCCCTCGGGGTCGTCCTCCACGGCCGAGCTGGCGTTGAGCGCGGCGATCCGGATCTGCGGAGAGAGAGCAACGCTCAGCCGCGGAGGGCCCCCCCCCCCCGGCGCCCCCCCGGCCCCCCCCCCCCCCCCCCCCCCGGCCCCCCCCCGCCCCCCCCCCCGGCCCCCCCCCCCCCCCACCCGCCGCATTCGGCTGTTCGGGCGAGATCGGAGGGCTTCGGAAACGCGATTTGATTTGAATTTGTTTTGATGTTTTTCATAAAAGCGCGAAATAGACGTTCTTCTGCCGTGGTTGAGAAATACCGATGCAAATTATGGTGATTTGCAGTTGAAAGAGGGAAAAGTTGAACTTTTACAGTACAAATAGAAATCATTTTTTTTTCCTGTAAGCAATTAAGGAAGCTTTTTTTCTCTGCTTGTGAGCTTTGCTTATTCAGTGGCTACTGTGGATTTTTTCAATAGCTCTTGCTATTTTGCTCTGGTATCTGTGGCAGTTGCTTCAGTGTTCATCTTTATTAGGGTTGCTTGTACAATTACTATTAAGAAACGAAAATGTTGTTTCTAAAAATCAATAATAGTAAAGAGAAGGACTGTAAACCTACAGATGGTATAAATAGAATAATAAAACAACTCACTTGGAAAAAGAAATAAACGTTCTTTTGTTATTTAAAGCAGAGGTCTCCAACGTGGGCCCTTTCAGCCTGGAGGACTTCAGCTCCCAGCTTTGCTGGCTGGGGATTCCTGGGAATTGAAGTCCTACAGGCTGAAAGGGCCCACGTTGGAGACCTCTGCTTACTTTAAAGGGAAGGAGGAGGAGGAGAAAAAGGAGAAGGAGGAGGAAGAAGAGGAGGAGGAGGAGGAAGAAGAAGAAGAAAGAGGTGGAGGAGGGAGGAGGAGGAAGAGGAAAAGGAGGAGGAG